CCAGTACCGTCAAGTGCATATTCCTCAAGACTTGTAGCAGACAATAATGCCACCATGGCATTGCAGAAAGCTCTGGGAGAATGGTGTAACCCATGCAAAACAAATAACACTCTAAAACTCAGAGCATTCTACAATATTTTAAACACACAGGCAAAGGTGTATCTTTTGTAATCACAGGCTTAAGTGATCAGGGAACAAGATGTCACATTGGAGAGAGCACTAATTCCTTTTCCAATATTTACAGTGACCTGTGGCCTATCACACTTGATTGACACCACACCAACATAGAAAAATGACTGAAAAAAATTGGAAACACTTAGGTCAAATTGGCTTCAGAAGCAGAGATGAATGTTCATCCTCTGTTGCCTAGTTTAGGAGCTCTTTGTTTGGGAGATTCACTGAATAGATCAAATCTATAAAACCAATGTACCAGTAAATGCAATTTCACTTGAGGTCAGCTATCAACCCAGAGGAGTGAAGAGGTTGGATGTCAGTATGGGTCAAGAATAGCAATTTTCAAAATGTGAACATAAGACTATCCTACTATTCACATACCATCATGCTCACTCATTCCCAAATCACCATTCAAAAAGCAATTGCCTCCAATAGTAGAACTACATCCTCCTTCAGTGTCATCACTCAAGTTCCCGATAGGCATGCTCATCCTGCACTCCCAAAAAGCCATCCAGGTTCACTGCAGAACTTTTGAATGATGCATAGCCACAGGGGTATTTGCCATTCACTGGCAATGACAAGCAATGGTTGGGGACAAGCCAATGTTGAACCATATTCCTATATCATGGGTTGTTGCATGACCACTTCAGAACTCTATCAGGACACAAAATTTTTTTGTATGAATATACAAATCATGACTCCCATAATTAAAAAATGTTGCATGGACATCCAAGGTAGGATTCCCAGGTCTCTCTTCCATGAATTTCATTCTGTATGGGATCTCAGAAGTACACACCTAGGAGGGACCAGGAAGTCCCACCAGACATTATGGTGGCCACTTACAGGTTGCCATTTGAGTTTTGCTTGGCACTGGATCAAAATTCCACTTTAAAAAAGTTTCCAGAAAAGTAAGGATTTTGATAGGTATAGGCTCTTCAAGTCCTTTGGAAGCTTTACATAGACAAGACATGAAGCACATGACAGCTTATCATTTAGGTTTTTGTTTTTTCATTTCTCAAAAATGTATACCAAATCAGAGAATCATTTTTTGGATGAGAAACTTGCAACCTTTTATGTTAACAGAAAAATGATGTGTTAACAAAACCTTTAACAGGCAAGCCTTCAAAACTTAAATTTACTGCATGTTCCCAGGTCCATGTTTTGCATGTCTAGTGCTTAGCAGTTTCACTATTTATAAGTTTAATGGAATTATAGCTTCTGTGAATCTGATCTGTTACTACTGACTGAATACATTTGAGTTACAAGGCAATGAATGTCTTATAATAGCAGGCTTCAGCTTCAGCAGGGATAAAGAGAAGTGGACCTTGCCCAGATATGAGCCAAGTTCCAAGCTCCACACTCCAAACTCCCATGCCCATGTCTTACACTGCACATACATCCATTGTGTAGGTGAATGGGAACATCTAAGCTGATATTAAAGGCTCTCAAGATGGAGATATTGCTTTCCCTTCTCTTGTTGAACTTGCATACATCAAGACAATCATGTCAACATTCCCTTCCTTGGGTGCATGTCTTAGGGGTTCAATTAGCAAGCCTAAGTGAGCACATCAACATTTGCATGCTTTGCCATGCATTGGAAATAATGGCATTTTTGCACAGAAATTTTCTGGAAATTCTGTCATAAGTGAGTCAACACTTCTGAACAGTGTTACATGCAAAACTGTAGATCCATCTATAGTCATGTTGGGAATTTAAACAATGAATTCTTGACAGCTTGATTAAAATTTTTAATGCATTCTTCTGAAGTGAGACCAGTTCATTGCAGGTTTTGATAGATGTCCATGCAAGCATCTTGTCTTGAAAAGGGTCAATACCTGTTGCACTTGTCCCAGACCCTAAACAGGCATGTCCCATTCTGAGTGCACTTAATATTTCTTGGACTTAAGTATTGTGGGAGGTCACTGTGGTAAAGGGCCAAAATAAATTATTATTCTCACAGTGATGCCAGTCACAACATGCTATCATATAAAGCAAAATAAAGCATTGGTTCAAATCCTAAGCCTCCTAAGGACTCAAGACCTGAAAGCATTCTGGGCAAGGAGTTTCAGATTCCCTGGACTTCTGAAGGCAAAGATGATACTGCATAGACACTATATGGCAAGTTCAGGTCACTAGGAGTCAAGATGTAACCAAGGAGTTCCTGGTGTTTGTCTTCATAAATGACAGGTAGGAAAACCAATATGAGGGCCAGTCAAAAATTTTCAAAGCACATTTTTTCTGGGGGAAAACCTGCTAAGCCTGAGGTACAAGGATATGATGTCCTTGTACCTTGGGTAGTCTCATATCTGTTTTGCCATATTCATACAGTTGCATGAAACTGGGTTGCAGACCATTTTTTGCAACCACCTTCAGTGCTGCCATTGTGATAGCTTGCACCTCCTCATTCTCAAATCTCATCAAAGTGAAGACCATTCAGCTGAAACTCCAGGCACAGTAAAAGAAAAAGTCATACATAACCAAACCTGGTGAGTACATGGATTGGGGATGGACATTCACCTTGTGCTTCATGAAGTAGGTTGCCACAGCGACAGATGTGTGGGCCAGAGCATTGTTGTTCTGTAGCAGTTATTCCCCAGATCTCCAGTTATGTGGTTGCTTTCAATAGTATCACCTAAACATTGAAAGACTTTTTTAGGTGTCCCCCCCCCTGTACTATGAATAGGACATCCTAATAAAAAGTATTTCAATGTTTAGATGATACAATTAATTGAAAACAACCATGTAACTGGAGATCTGGAGAGTGGCTGCTACAGGACAACAATGCTCTGGCCCCTGCATCTGTCACTGTGGTGACCAACCTCATGAAGCACAAGGTGAATGTCCATCCCTAATCTGTGTACTCAACAGGTCTGGTTATGTGTGACTTTGTTCTCTTCCTGCACCTGAAATTACAGCTGAAGAATTGTCATTTTAATGAGGTTGAGGAGGTGCAAGCAACCATGATGGCAGCACTGAAGGTGGTTGCAAAAAATTGGCCTGCAATCAAGTTTCACACAACTGTAGGACTAGTAAAAAGGATGTGACTACCCAAGGGAAATAGTGTGAAGGGCATCATATCCTTGTACCTAAGGCTTAGCAGTTTCCCACCAAAAAAAGTGTTCCAAAACTTTTTGACTGGTTCTTGTACAGGATGTTTCATCAAAGTTCCAAGCAGCTGAGAAGGCATCCTGACAAATCAAGCCAGATCAGTATATGGTGACATGGGAAGTTCCAAAGTGTGGTATCAGTTCTTTGCTTCAGAATCTGCTGCCACAAGATGGCATTCAGGGCAAAAGCTTCAATGATGAAAGGGATAGATCTGACATGAATACCAGTATGAGAGTGGATACCACCATTTAAAGGTAAAGTTGGCAGCATAATGCATACAGGGGAAAAAGGTGAAGATAATATTTTGCCTATCTATCCCTTTTGCCCCAAGAGAGACATGAAAAGATGGGTCTAGCGATGCAACTGGAACAAACTTCTCCATTTCCACCTAAAGAGATGCAAGCACTGTTCCTCCCAAACACTCAGAATGGAGTCTTTTCAGCCCTTCAAGCATTTTTTTATTATTATCAAATCACCTTTATTACCAAAGGACATTGCTACCAAGGATCAAACATGAAAAACCTTTATTCCCCTTCCAGTCAGGTTCAACATGGGGGTATGCCCTGCTGGTGCCATATACATCCATAAAATAATAATACCAAAACATGCGAGACAAGTGTTTGTATGAGACCAGTGTCATTAATGCACCAAAGCAGTCCCGACAAAATATGGCTGTGTTCAAAGGCTGTACATGCACATGCTTTTGCAGAAACAACCCAACTTGAACAACTCAGGTAACCCAATATAAACAAAAAAGGTTAATTTGCATCATGTTTATGGCCAGGGTAAACAAATTACAGTTTGGCACTTTTTCCTCATTATCATCATATTATATGACCTTTATTACCACAACTATTAATGTGAGCCATTTTTTATTCCTTCTTTCAATGAATGAACCAGGTATATAGTGTGCCCATCAGATATACTCTGGAAAATGACAAGTAGGAGAAATTAAATAAAAATAACATACTTGTTTGATGAACACATGAAGGAAAATACTCTTTCAGATAACCCAACAAGAACAACAAGGGCCATCCTAATCAAAAGCATCAAGAAAAGGCAAAAAGGTAAGAGTAAAAAACCAAGGTAAATAACCTAATATACCAAATATGAGAATTTATAACTGCCTCTTGAGTGGTCATTACCACTGAAATTGATGCTAACAGCTACCATTGCCGATATTAGTGGGTATTTGCCATGTTTCAGTCTCTCTCCTACTCAGAGAACCACTAGATCAATCAACTGTGTCTGTCAGTTTACTGAGGAAAAAATAAGAATAAATATAAGAACTATTTTTGAAGAACAAATATGAAGGAATGGCCACACTTAACGCCAGCATAGATGAATGTATAGTACAGCCAGAAAGTTTGAGGCAGGTCTCAAAAATGATTCTTTTTCAAGAAAAAGACTACAAAAACGTAACGCTCTTTTTCAAACTAAATGTAAATGATTAATCATGGTTTTTATTAGTTGAAATTGTTCTTTTGTTTGTTATTTAAAATTTTTTTTTTAAAGACTTGTGAAATTTTCCCACCTGCCTCAAACTTTCTGGCAGTACTGTATTTCCATTAAATAATGTTGACAGAATGTATCTCTATTATATAATGCCAACAGAAATTAATATACCTCTATCAATAGTTAAAAATTGAACACAACAGAGCAAATATCTTCATAGCTAAATAAAGACTCTGAATTGAGATTCAAATGAAATCATGGTTTCAGATTTCCACTGTCATTGGGAGTAAAGAGATTCAAATTTGATTCTAAGTTCACACTAAGAGAAAATGATTCATCTCTTGATTGACTGCTGATTTTCATGTCAAAATCCTTATGCAGAACTTGTGAAATTTTCTAGGAATTTGAGACAAAACACCAGTGGGGTGACACCTGATTGTACAATATTTTTTTGGAGGAAAATTGAGGCTCATCTGAAGGAAATCAAAATACTCTTATGGGAAGTACTGACCTTTTCACAGGTTATGAGAAAAAAGAAAGAATTGGATTTGACGAGTAGAGAATATATTTACCTGTAATTAGCAATTAGAATAATTCACAAATATGGAGCAGATTTGGCTCGTATCAAGTCTTAAAAAAGGAAAACAAAGCAAAGAAAACAATTTGGAGAATTATCCAATCTGCCTAATGTTCACATAAATAAATTGGAGATCACTGCAATCTTTCCACATGACCATGAACGAAAAGCTGGCAATGATGCACCCCCACCTGATGATCACATAAAAGCAATAATGGGAAAACAAGCACCTACAAGGCAATGTCTGAGGTGGATGATTCTGAATCATGAGTTCCAGTGCTATTGAGCAAAGGTGGCTCAACATCATTAAATGCTGCTATATCATTGATGAAAGACCTCTCATTGGCAAGGGAGCAGACTGCAACGATCCTTGGCTGAGGTGTGGGAGGTGCTCCCTCAGTCACATCTGCCTCTGCATTCACATACTCCAAGGGTGGGTCCTCCACATCTACCACATCTTCTCCATTAGGAATAGCATCTGGGTTGATTCCACGAGGCAATTCTGCATTGACATGCAAGGATAAGAACTCAGCCATTCTCTCTTGCAGACGATGAGCTTGAGACTTGTGCCTGACCACGTCTTGATAGCGGGTGAAGGACTTGTTACAACTGTTGCAGCACAGAGATTGGGATTCCTCCTCAGATATTAGTCCATAGAGGACATACCTAGTGCTGCATCGTCTTTCATGCTGACGGCGAACAGTGTCTGATAGCTGGACCTTGTGGCAGTAGGAGCAGGAGAGTCCAATGGAACTCTTGCGAGCAGTCATCTTCTTTGAGTTTCCAGAAGGATCTGACATTCGCTTCAGTGTGGGAGGCAGTGGGGACCGATTCTGTGCTGCTGCTGCTGATTCCTTGTCTAGGAAGTGGACCATTCTTCTCTTGTGCAAAAACCAACCTTTATAATTGTCAAACACCTTATCGCAGTTGCTGCATTTCAGCTGGTCATACTCCTCCTGGGATACTTTCCCCTTTCGGATGAGAGCCTGTGGACAGCTGGAGGTACGGTGGGCTTCCAGAATCAACCGGCGAGCAAACCATGTTTTGCAGTCTGGGCATGGGTGACCTGATGTCTCATCTCCACTGCACAAGTACACATGATGTTTATAAGTATCATATCCTACTACACTTGTCTTGCAGTTTGTGCAGAAGAAGGCTCTTTGCTGACTGCCACTCCTTCCAGCCTGCTGCATTTGAGATGATCCCTCTAATGGTGACTCCACTTTGATCCTGGGTGTGCGGGCAGTGGATGACTGTGGTGCCTCCATCTTGAGTGCAGCTCGACCAGTTGAAAGTCGTGGTGCTTCCATCTTGAGTACAGCACGACCTGCAAACGGCCGTAGCGACTCTAGCTTGGGTGCATAGGATGCCAGGCGCTGCCGTCGTTCATTCTTTCCACCGTCATCAGGGCAGTGCTTTTGGTGGACAGTATAGGTTCCTACACTGGAAAATGCCCTGTTGCAATGCTGACACTTCCACCAGTTCTTCTTTGAAGAGTTCTTGTTGTGGGCTTGGACGCTGTGTTGATGCAGGTGCCTCCTTGATGAAAACTGACGTCCACATGCCCGGCAAGTGAACCGGGACCTATATCCCTGCTTCAACAGACAGAAATGTATTCATGGCTCCAAGATGTATGCATAGAAAAGACAGAACTTAGAAAATGTCCAGATGTATGCATTACGGATCATGCATCTATCAATCTGGAAAATCTTGGAGCAGACTGCCAATGACCTTAACAGCTTGTAGAAACATATGAAAACCCTTTCAACCATTTGAATCATGGCCATTCACCTGCAAAGGAGCTTAACCTTGCTGTGAATGCACAATAGAGATAAAATATAGAGACTAGAGGGGAAATACAAAGTATGGAGGCCTGCTGTCCAGCTGAGCAGGAATGAGAAAAAAGACACGTGCATAACGTGCTCAAAGAGTGCCTCTGCAACAGGGAATGTCAAACAATGTGTGCATGCACATGAACAGAGAGCAAGGCACAGAGTGAAGGAATGCAGGTAAGGGAGCAGGAAAGGCTTGCAATCCCTGCCTCAAGAATGAGTCAACCAATACAGAGTAACAGACAGGTCCAAGCCAGCCAGGCCTGAAGGGATCACCTATGCAAGTGTAAAATGATTGATCCAGGTCTTCGCACTGCCATCTTCTACTATAGACACAAAGGCTCACCTGAGACAAGCCAGTTAGTTAGCATATATGAAACAGGCCCATGAAACAGAGACTATACAACTGAATCACTGAATCCAAGACATTTTACAACACATTCCTATGGAACATTCCACATTTCAGGGAATGAAAATGGCATGCCATGCATCAATATATATTTTTCATGTCAGCGAAAATTTTCCAACAAATTCTACAGCAACAAAAATGTGAAAGGGTAAAAAGGGAGAAATAGAAGAGGAATGACAATAATGATTCAGAATGTTGGTCCCTTCTCCAGTGTGAGGTGAAATGCACACAGACAAAAGAAACAGGGAAATGAGTCAGTGAATTACTGACTCAGCAAGTCATCAAGATTTGCACTGACTTTGAGTCCCTCTTTTTTATGTTTGTTATTTGAGTCCCACAATCTCACAACGTCCATGATAGCACACTAACAGCATCCATAAAATGAAAAAACTCTTTAATTTTCAGCAGCCTAGAACTGCAAAAGGGAATTCCATTCATGTCTTGATGAGAGCCACCAGCACATTCTGTGGAATGTGAGCAAATAACTGACATAGCCATGTTTACCTTGCAAAACCCAATCCCCATGCATTCAGAAAATGGATCCTTAAATCTTCTACTCCAATCTCAATATGCCCATCTGACACTGGCATGGTGAGGGGGGAGCAGGGGAGGACAGTTGCCCCCAGGTGCAGGGTTGAGGGGGGGGGGGGCAAACTCAGGAACCCAAAAATTATGTTTTTGCTTGGACTTTATTTGGACTCCAAATAAAGTTTGCACCCCCCTTCAGCCCTGTGCCTGGAGGCAACTGTCCCCCCCTGCCCCCTTCCTTGCTACACCTCTGCCATCTGACAAGATTCCATAGCATAAAAAAAAAATATAAGTGAGGGTAGTTACTGTAAATTTGATAGTAACTCTCTTATCAGAACTATTAGTGCATTCAAGGTTAATCTCAAAGGTAGGAAGAATAACAATTATTTTCATTCTAGAATAATAAAATAAAGTCATCAACAGTGCATATTTCCAATAACTTAGAATTGACTTCACTGGTGCTAAATCATATCAAAAGAGTGAGGCAGGTCTCACCTGTCAGCAATGCAAAGCAGTTTAATGCTTTGAAAAGCTGACCACATTAAGCCATTCCATAATAATCTACTCTGATTTATTAGTAGTGAGGCTAGTACTTCACATCACTGTGCCTCATCCATAAAGAGAAAATAAAAAATTTAACATGCAAGAATTTATTCACTAAAAGAATAACTACTCATGCACCTTCTACACTCATATTCTCATGCATCTTGCCATTGAAAATAATGGAAATGCATCAAGATATGCGGGGTGGTCATTCTCCACATGATGTGGCACCACACTTCCTATAGAAAACAAACAAACATGATTTGAAGACATACCCTTTGCGTGAAGCTTTCGCTTGGACCTTGTTCATGCTCATATGCTAGGCTTGAGCATCCTGCTTGGCTGGGTTCTGCAGATGGTCTCAATACCTGTTCTTCCTCTGTTGTTGCCCCTGATGTTCCTGGACATGGAAAAACATATATCAGGTCAAATCTTACATGGATGAAAGACTGAAACTCTAGAATTGGCACCAAAGCTTGGGAAATTTTCCCATAAAGGAATAACATAATGCTCCATAATTCTCATAACCTCTCAACAATGAATCTCAAAGCACCCACTGAAGCCTTGGGAGTCATCATTCAGATTTCAACTAGTGGCATAAAAATGTCCAAGGATTCAATCCCATCAGTGCTCAAGGTCAAGACTTATAAGCCAAAAAATAAAAATCCAATGAAGGATATATAGATGCTATCCAAGAAACATCATCATGGTATGGAGACCCTTTTTGCTTCCCATAAACTAATGAAGACTCTCTTGTTATGTACCAGCACCCATATGGGATGGCTTGCTAAGGTAGTGGAGCAGTAGTTGGGTGTCATCTCACTTTGGTTGGTCCAAACTTCTTTGGTTGGGAGAACCAGTTTCATTCCTAATGGGTTACAGCCGATGGCCTATTTGCTGTTCATTTATTTTATTGCACAGCTTTTAACTTAAAACTCCTGATCTCATGCTGATTGGGCTAGGGAAATTTCTGTTCTAGCTTAAATCTATCTGATGGCACCAATGACATAAGTGTGATTGGCCACTTTAGGCCACACAACTTCAAAAGTTTCTGCACCTCCAATGCTGCTGGACTACTTTATGCAATCTTTTATCTTGAAACAAGCATGTAATGTTCTATTATATCCAAGGGCTCTAAAAAGAAAATGTGGATTTTAATGACACACCAGGCTCAGTGCTGACCGAAAGGGGGCCTTGGTCCTCATCCTCATCTATGGTGATGACATCATCTTCAGATCCCTCCCCTGAAAATGTGTGACAACACAAATGATCAAACAAGAAAGGCCTTTCTTTGCTCAGATTTTAGCTGCCTGTAGTCCAGCTCTAAATGATGCACCTCAGTCAGTCATACTTTGCATTTCCCTTGCCTTACCACTCTTTCATACCTTCTTTGCAAATTTAAATATCCATCTAAGGCATATCAGCAGCAATTTGACATGCAATTCTATACTAAACAGATAGAATGTACAGGTTCATGCTTGAAATACAATCTGGACATCACATCTCCAGTGTTCTTAGTCTAATCAAATTAAATCAATGTCAACAATAAGGATTTTATAATAATGTCTGAGATACATTCATGCAGCAAAAGGATAAGATGCAAGAAACCTTGAAGAGAAGAAGTGAGGGTACTAGTGAGGAAGTCAACAAGAGGATGGATTTTGAGCTCAACAGCAACATTGAGCAGCTCGATGACATCAGTGGAGGACATCCTCCTCAATGTGTCTCCATAGAGGAGCCCTACCAGTGCATTCAGAGTTCTCACATTAAGGTGCGGGAGTGTGATTGAGCACAACTCCCCCTGAGGACAACTCGTCAATAGGCTCTGGTTGCAAAAAGAAAAAAATTATGAACAAAAATCAGATGCAGTGATCAAATCAGTCACCAAATCAATTTACTTGGAGTGACCAGACAGACTGATGATGAATTATATCAGATATATGAAAAATATTACATATTGGTGCATGATTTGATTATGAAAGTTCCAGGTTGACCTCATATGACTCAGTCAATGAATAAGTGGAGTGTATCTGTTTTTGGCATCTGACATGAGCTGATTTACTGTACAGTAGTTGTGACAGACCCAAAAATGCAATTCACTTAGGAAACAAGATATTTGACAATCAATACAATTAAAGATTTTCGCCAATGAGGCTAATAGACCAAGTAGCAGACAACATCAGTATACCACATAGAAAGAAGCAGACAGATATCCAAACTGCTTTTCAATTCCATTTTAAGTAAGGCTCACTAGAAAACTGACATGGAGGAAGGGTGAGGCTCGACTGAGGATGTGCCGATGACAGTGGACAGAGCCATCTCGAGCAATCAAGTGGAGGTCACAGAACCCCTGTGACTTCCACAGTTTTAGTAGTCCCTCATAATATGATTCTCTCGCTGCCACAACCACCTGCTTCCGTATATTGCAATTCATTTTTTCCCTTTCCTTCACCAATAGATTCCTTTCTTCATCTGAAACTGAATGCCATGCCATGCCCTTCAACTTGGATGCCCTTGGATCATACTAAGTATGTGTCACTAAAACTATTCATTTCTACCATTGGACTTGGCATCAAATTCATTCTAAGTAAAAACATGATGCCAACATAAAATTCAGCTCATATAGTAAACACACAGGTGAAGGACAAAGGCCAAAGGATAGAAGCAATCACTGGCATATTAGACATAACACACTCATTCAATCACCAAGTATTGATTTTCATTTCATTCAGTCAAAATAATTGTATGAATTATTTAAAAAAAAACTACTGAAAATCTATAAAATTACAAAAAGGAGAATACCTTACAATTTAAGAAGTTAATATGGATAAAACTATGGCTACCACAATAGCTACTTAAAAAAATATTGACAGATGAATATTACTGGTGTACCAATGCTTCATAATATAAATAATCATTGTGACTCTATGGAGAGAGAAAAGGCCCATGAGAATGCAGGCTGATATTGAAGTTAAAAAAATGAACATGCAAGATGCCCCATTGCATTCCCACCTAGATGTCCAATAAGAGGGTCCCATTTATAAACCTGAAATATTTCATTATGGTATTTCCCTTCATAGTCTGTCAGTGTATCATATTGCTTAATAAAACCATCAATGGAATCAACCAGCAACAATATCAATGCATTATGCGGAGGGAGTAGATTTTCATGCAAGTGCATATTTTTCCTGCAGCCTTGTAGGAGAATGCAACTTACACAGGAGCATGTATTATAAGAAATGGAAGTAATTCATGCCATTAAAAAAAATGCATATCTTAGGGGTTTCCTAAGAATATGGAAAATTGTGCATATTTTGCCCATTTCTTACAGAAAATAATTCAGTTTTTCAAAAATGTGTTTTCTTCATAAGCAAAAATGAAATTTTCTAGTAGTGATGTGCTATGACTAGAACAGGCATTTGATTTCACCACCAAGCTTCTTCTTCACCCACCAAATGGGGGAAGGAAGCATGAAATAAATGTATATTGTAGTACTGTATCTCTCTTTCAAATATCTTGTTCTGGAAAAGAATACATAAATTAAAAATTACATATAGTAATGCACACATCATAAAATGCATAAATTTGCATATTTTTGATTTATCAGCACATAAAAATCCACTCCTTAATTATGACATACAGATGATGAATAAAGAAAAGAGACAAAGGCTAGGGAACTTTGGATATGGACTCTCACCAGAGACTGCTGAGAGGTGTCTCACAGCTGGCAAGCTTCAGTAAAGTCTCAAAATTTCAAGATTGATCCTGACATTTCAACTACCAATCAACTACATTGATGATGTAGTTCACCAATGGATTTTGAAAATCAATAGTCACCAGATTAATCACAACAAAGAGAAGAAAAAAGGAACAGATTTTATTCTAAAAAGGCAGTGAAACCAAAAAATAGATCTATCCTGAAACACATCGATGCATGAGAAAAAAACTGAACACAAACTTTGGCTTCTTGATTAACTTTTTTTCTTCAGGTGTTTCTAAACCATCCAATAGTGGTTTGGATATTGCTGCTTCTCCTTCTTCAGGGCCTCCATCAGTGAATCCTACATCCCAGAGAACAGCAACAATATAGCAGCAGAGAACATCACAATTTGAAGTAATATCAAAAACTTTTAAAAGCTCTTCCTTCCCCAAAGTCTTAATTTTATCTATTGGTACTGGCTGATAAAACATTTTAAATAACAATTGTATTGGGACAATGTATGGGGCAATGATGCTGATGACAATGCTGGAAAGGTCTCCCATCATTCTGCAAAGAACCATTTTGATTGTTTTCCAACCAGAATGTTCCATGCTATGCATACAAGTGTCATCAATCATGTTCAGTGGTTGCACAGTGCAGCACCATCAAAACACTTTTGTTTTTGTTTTCAACTATCTCATACCAGTGAAAATTAAGTTAATTGGCAAATGATTTCTGCTCTTGGGGGCTGTCTTGTTGGAAAATAGTCAAAGCTGCCCTTTAGAAAATGATGGCACTGACAAAACTTAGTCAGTGAATGTTCCACAATGAACATCCCTCAATTGTGCTACTTCATCAATTGTGCCATTTTACATGAACAGAAAGAATTAACTAATCACATTGACCAACATTTCATATTCAAGAGTGCAAGCATCATAAGATTTTGCAACTCTATGCCTGTACTTATAATATTTAAAATAATCAGAATGTCAGTGACCAGTAGTACTAGTAACATCTGCAAGATGGTAAAATGTCAAAAGTTTCCAGATCAAAGTCTTTCATGGAATGGGGCATAAAAAACACTCCATCCAAATCCATGGGAGAATCATCATATGTTGCAGGCATTTAATTTTTTGGCAAATACCAGAACATTCAGCAATGGAAGTAAAGCACCCCTGGAATAAAAACCAGGGAATAAACTTGGAATATTCCAAAAGAAATGCTCCAAAACAACACTGAAAGCATTTGAAGTGGAGTACAACAGTTTCATGGAAGCATTACATGCTACAACATTGTCATGTGCATCCCATGATTCCAAAGATGAACCAAAAGCTTTTGATTTCTGGTCCACATTTGTTCATGTTTCATTTTTTGGGATGTTGTTTTTTGATGAGTTCATTCCAGTACATGAAAAAAAGGTTTATATTTGAAGGTGTTCTTTAAAGCATTTAATAGAAATCTTCAGGATGTAGGACTCACCCTGGGATCATACAACAGGGCAACACAGACTACACCCAATCTAAACTCAATGTCACAAATGATGAACAATATGATTTATACAAGGGCTGTGCTGATGCACCAGCAACCACCAGTATTGGCAAGTCAGTGTGGCACCATCAGTGGAAGCTGCTGATGCCAATGCCCAAAGAAGAACATACTGAATGATCTAGAGAAAAAAATCATGATGAACTGAGAGATGTACTGGTGTCACTGTTGATAGGTGAAAGCATTGATGAGTTTATTACCCATCAAAATGGTCACACCTCACACTGATCACAACAAGAAATGATGGAAGGACAAAAGAGGCCTTTGCCCCAACCAAGACAAGAAACAAGGAATGTTAAACCTCTGTCACATCACAAGAAATGACTGAATCCACTGGCATCCCTCCCTATCTCCATGATGCATCAATAATTGTGTCCAGGTCAATACATCAACTTTCCAAAATAGCCATTGTGACAGCACCAAAAAAATGGCTTCCAAACAGAACAATTTGAATAAGTATTTTATATGATTATTCTCTCTTAATCTACAAGTCAAAATCAAAGTCAAATACAAGTAAAAAAAATCAGCATCAGCACTGGCTGAAGGGTATGAGATCATCTTTGTCCATTAGCCCAATGTAGCCATTGGTACAGCCATAATTTATACATTGGCACTGCTCTAACTTAGCTTGTATGCAGTTTATTTTCAATTCAAACAAGCTTCGAATAAATACTTAAACAAGCACTTTTTCAGAACATTTTATATACATACATCCATTTTTGAAACAGCTTATCCCAAATTAATGGTTTCCAGTTTGAGCAGGCCCAGAAGTATCTTCCAAAGTTTGCAATCCTGGGCAGCAGACTCAAGCTTGGTCAGTGGTATACCAAGTCTTTTGCTGCGAAGATTCTCAATGTAGTCTGACCACCTTGCTTGAAGTCTACTGACTGGTCTTCTGGCACCTTTTAGATTGTAGGATTCTTTTTGGGAGTCTCTCAGGAAGCATGCAGGAGACTATCTTCACCTTATTACAACTGATCCTGACACCCTCAAGGCCCAAGTTACTCCTACAGATCCTATCCATGTACATGATAAACAGGAAAGGAGAGGGAATGCAACCTTGATGGAGTCCAACACATACAGGGAATGAGTCTAACTTCTTCCATTCCTAATCCCATTATAAGCATTGTATGGTCTGCAATAGCTGACCATTAATTCCATACTCCTGCAGCATGGAATAGCTTCCCTCAAAGAACACAGTCATACACATTTCAATGTCCACAATCATATGTAAACTTTTTTGGCATATTTCCAATGTCTCTAGAGAATCTTGTGAAGAGTAAAGAGCTGGTCTGTGGTGCTGTGCCCTTCACGAAAACAGCTGCTCTTATTGGATGGCTTCTTCAACAACTGCACTTTCCTAGCACTTTGGCATAGACCTTACCAATTATGAGGAGAGTGATGGCTGAGTACACTGAGGAGAGTCAGAAAATTTTCAGTAACTAAATTTGTCTTCAAGAAGTTCATTTTCAGTGTCATGATTCTCCCATGGAAAGTGATAGAGCACATTTTGGTCCAGCAAAATGGTTTTGGTTTTGGGTAAATTCTTTCACAGTGATAAAGGGGAACAGACCTTGCCAAGATCGGAGTCAGGTTCATTAGCCTCCTGGTCATTGGACTCACTGCTCTTGGATTCCCTGTCAGCATCCTTTCCCTTGTGTTTGACCTTGGGAATTTCCATCATCCAAGTGGAAAGTGGGAGTGTTGGGGACGATACTGATGGCTCAAGGGACAGAGATGCTGCCTTCCCGTGTCGTCCTCCTCCCATCACTGAGTCTGATATCATGGACAATCATGAGTTATCTAAGAAATTTGTATTGGCATTCAAAAACTGCACAATTGGAAAGATCTCTGCATTGCCTTCCCTTTAATGAGTGAATCCACAGGAGGTACCAGAAGCAATTTGAGAGTCTGGCAATACTAAATGAATGTTTCAAAATTTGAAACTTTTTCCAGGGGCAAGCAGATGAGAAATTTCTGGAAATTCATTCATATGTGAATATCTTGGAAAAGGCTGAAAATGTTGACATAACAGGTTTTAGCTTAAAACAAATTATGGATTGCACTTTACTCCTTCTTACATCTGTCACAAGATATCACTAAATAGAAACACTTGAAGGCTTCCATGCAGGAATGCTTATTCATCTCTACAGAGCAGGGCATGTGAAAGATGTGATGAGTATAAACCAGTGTGGCTTGTCTCACCGAGCTGGTCATTCGAGGCACTGCGGGCACTCAGGATGGATCTGGAGTGGGAGTGGGAGTGGGAGTGAGAATGGGCATGAGATGTGCGGTGCTGGAACATGAAGCTCTGGTAAACAACATCCTTTTCATGGGAATGCCGCTCCAACACTTTTATCATTGCCTCTTTCTCTCCCAACTTTGACTCCAGGTCCTTGATCCTATGGAGACCAACAGGGTTCATGGACATATTCACACAACTTCATTCCAAACAGGCCATAAGTTGGACATCAAACCTGTACAATGGCTCACAGTGAGGTTTCCAGCTCACTTTTCATTTCCTATTTCATATCCAAATTCTCTAACAAGTTCACACCTAGATTTACTTTTTTCTTCCTGTCTAAACAATCGTCACAGGCCAGACTTCACTCTTGAAAATTCCTCATCTCGCTCGATCAATTCTAATCTCAATTTTCAAGGTTGATTTCAACTTCAGACTTGTCTCAGACTTTTCAGTTAACACCATTCCACCTTGAATGATGGAATGATGAATATTTAACTCTACCTTTGATGACACCTTGTCACCACACAAAAAAAGTCAGCAATCCCTCTCAGAAGCCATGAAGTGTCATAATTATGAGACATCAGTAAGCCTTGGGTGAGTTTTGAGAGCTGGTAGGACCATGTTTTTCCCTCACACTAAATAATATAGCAATGAAATGCACTGAATGGTAAATTAATTGCAAGGGCTGTTTTGAGGCAAATTAAAAAATACTAGGGATTGAAAACAAGCTGCAAGAAAGCCTTGAGACACATTCAAGGTATAAGCAGTTGTGTAGCAGCTGGCTAATGCTTATAAAATAGAAAAGACATGTACTAGTGTTTCATTATATTACTGATATGCAAAAAATAAGGTGCGTTTTGAGGTGAAAAATTTGAGAGCAAGCAAGTATATGAAAAATAATGCCAGCCTGGTACTAAAACCAGAAAGCTTAACAGACCTCTCCTCATATTGAGAATTCTTCTTGTTCAGAGAGTGAAGTTCCTCAAGGTGCTTCACTTTGTCAGAGCGAGCCTGTGCAATCAGCTTCTCACTCTGCTGACTAGTCTTCTCCAGGGCTGCAATCTTGGCATCCCTACCAAATGCAAATAAAGGATCCATCCATCATTCTACCTACTGATAAAAATAGCTAAGTATGATCAAATTTTATTCAAGAACGACTGAAATGAACGAATAAACAAGAATGGCAAAGAGAGAGATGGTCTTCAACAAACCCATATTGCATCCTTTCATGGCAGCATAGAAAACAATTGTCAATACAATAACTTAGCAAAACACATTATTGGCAGCCTGGGGATCCTAGAATCCACGAAGAAAATGACAGCAAGAAAATGCTGAAAAACTACAACCCTTCTTCTCTTGTGATCCATGCCCTTCCTGCATGCACTAGTCTTCTGGAAGTCCTCAAAATTTCCAGAAACTGTGTTGAGAAATTTATGGCAGAAACAGTCCATGCCAACTCAGTTTGACACCAGACTGGACAGTTACTGCAATTATGACTTCCATCTAATTACTGCTCTATAAAATCTGTTGGAATTGGGTGAACAGAAACAAAGATAAGCAACAGACTTAGGCATGGAGGCGGCATCAATGGCAAGCTGTCTGAGGGCAGACTCCTCGAGATAGCGCTGCTCCCAGCGAGTGGTCTCATCCTCAAGCATGAGGATCTTCTCCTCTAGGCTTCTTACAAGCTGCTTCAGTTCCTCCTTGGTCTCTCCTGACTCCTCTCGAGCATCCCTTGCCTTCTCTCCATCCTCCTTCCCTCTTCCCTTTTCCCGCTCTTCCTTCTCTGCCCGCAAATCCTGCCAACCAGTCAAAAGACCATTCTATCAATCAATGTAAAATAATTTATAACAATTATAGCCAAGGCATATCAAAGCCTCATGCGAGCAAAAAAAAAAAAAGGCAACAGTATTCTTCCTGAAATGAACCAGCCATGATTTCATTAGCTAAATATAAATAAGCTTAATACTTTTCAGGCATCTGAAAGGTCTTGATACAAATCACAAGACAGTATAACCCAACAAACAGCCCTAACTGAAAACAGCCATCATTCTGACAGATTATCTTTACTAAAGGCACTGGAACTTTTCAAGATCACAGAGGCACCAACTATGCCAAAGTGGACAAAAAAAGTCAACTCACAGCAATCTCCTTCTCAAGTTGCTGGCGGAGACGTAGCTCCATGTCTTGGCGACGGTCAGAGGAGAGCTGAAGTGATGAGAGAGAACGCTGCAGTTGGGCAACCCGCTCCACATAGACCTGCTTCTTTCGACAGTCTTCCTCCAAGCGGACAACATTTGCCTGTGCATTGGTTAGAGCCGAATCCAGTACATCAATGTACTGTCGCTGCTCCTGCAGTGTTGCCCGCTGTGCTGCCAGCTCTATCTCCTGACGTTCCTTGCATGTTGCAAGCTCTCGGTCTGATCACAGCAGGAAGGGAAGCTCTCAGCCTTATTGGGCTCAAAGCAAAAGTGCTTCATGCCAAATTTGACAGTAGACATAAACCTACTTACATATACTACATAAGAGGTGCACTGGTGAAAGCATTGTACAATATCTCATAATGAGACTATGCATACAGATGCAAAAATACTTGAACAAATCACTTCTTAATCTTTCCTCATTTCTGCACTCAGTATTTTTTGTTTCATACATGCTCATTCACAGAGCTCATCCATATTTTACAATCCCATACTTCAACCCTTTCAATGTTGAGTTTTTCCTTGAGGCAGTACCACCCTATGTGGGTATATTTCAGGCTTTTGTCTATTTTAAGAGAAATGGTACTAATTTGAATTATGCACATTCCCCTCAACAGTGAAGGTAATAAACAGATGTCAGATGAATGCCTGATTGACTAGATTTACTACTAATGCACTATGAACTAAGAATTGTACATACATGAAGAGACAGACATATATATAGGGTGGTTAAAAAAAAAATTAAATTGGATATGCAATCGATATTTGACAGTTAACAAGTGCTAAAATGCTTGCCAGCCATTTTTCAGCACCCCTGCTTAAGTCATGCAATGCCCATTTAGAGGTGAATTTAAGGTGCTTAGAGATGGATCATTCCACCTCAAGTGAAGTGATTACCTGAGCTCGACCATCTCAGAATTCAATGAATTTTTTAACTTGAACTTTTCAAGGGACAGTTGGATCCAGCTGATACTTGACAGAGAGGTTCATGAGCCTAAAGGTTTTTTTTTTTTCATTTCCGCAAGATGGTGCTGTATACCGATAGAGGGCACAGCTGTTGACCAGGTGACCCAGGGTGATTTTTTAAAAAGTTTAATGCTTTTTTTAAAGCATTTATTTTGGATTTGGTGGAGCATACATGGCTCAGAGAATTGATCAGAAAAAAACAAGACAATCTTTTCAACACCTCCTATATGTCCAATATCAAGTATTAACTCTATATTTTTTTACTCGAATACACGAATTGTACTTTCTTCCCTTTGAAAACAGTGGAGCTTTCTTTAAATCACCCTCGATCACCCGGTCAACAACAGCAACCTCTATCGGGATACAGTGCCATCTTGCGGAAGTGAAAAAAATCTTAGACTCATGAACCTCTCTGTCAAGTATCAGCTGGATCCAACTGTTCCTTGAAAAGTTAAAGTTGAAAAATTCATTAAATTCTGAGATGGTTAAGCACAGGTAATTGTAACACAAAAGGGAAAAGGGAACAATTTGGATCTCAACATCACTGGAAACATACTCTGTGAGATGAGCTGGGTAATGAAGATGTCCTGCTTTCTCAAGTCCCGCTGTTGATCATCCTGTGAGTCCCCACTACCCCGCCTGCCCAGCTGGCTCAATGTCAGATCCAGCTGCTCTGATAGGTGCTTGTTCAGTGACTGCCAACAGTGCAAAGTCTCATCATTACATCAGAAACAGTGACCATTTCCTTAATTGATTTCTTTCACTTTGTACTTCCAACTTGTAAAACTGACAATGAAGTGACAACTTACAACTAAATTTGGAATGAAGGTACACAGCACAAATGAAAACAGGAACACACAGGAAATTGAAAAGGAACAGAGAAAACTACTCTGACACAAAATATATGACTTGCTACTAGCTTTTCAACACCTAGAACATAGAGACTTATAATGCTGGACTTTGTCCAAATCTGACACATGCTCCTCTGAAAGGAGATTTTTATTGAAAGATAAAGTCAGCATGTCTCCCTGCATTTATCTCTTTTCTAGAGAGGCAAACATGGTGGTGGTCAATCTGTAAAAATGTCCAAGAAAAGTTGGATGCAAATAGACCCTTCTTCCTCCCAATGACTGATTGTCTTTGGGATTTACATAAGGAAAAAACTGATCTATCTACACATACCAATTTCCCCCCCTTTAAGAACATGCTCAGTGGAATATTCCTTATTTCTGTATGAAGCTCAAGAATATAATTTTTTGCAGTTAGACCATTATCCATTCTGCCCTTCATTTACCCCCAACTCAGCAAGGAAATCAATTACGACTCAATCATTAAGTGAAATCAAATTACAATATATTCCCAAGAGAACTAAACACCAAAAGATCACTATGCAGATTAAATTCATTGTTCTCATGGCAGGCTTGCAGTTAATTAGGACAAATGCTCCATGATGAACACTACTCTCAGTGCATCCTGTGCTAATCAACTGCAAGGCAACTATGCTGCCACAAGAACAAAAAAACATGCACAAAAATTGATGCTTTTTCTAACTGGTTCTCAAGTCTCTGGATCCCTATAGACTAGAGCCAACATATTTCCCATTCCCTTGTAGAAGGGAAACCAACACAAAATGTCTGATGAGAGACTGAAGCATTTGCTTTTCTATTTATATTTTAAAGATAAAGCCAGCATAAGTTTTGAATTGATCACCTGAGAGCACAATCTTACAGATTTACGGCAGCACATCAACTTTCCCTCAGGCAACAGTTTGAAGTTGCTGCAAGATAAGAAATTTGGATGAGTCCTTTTGTAGTTCAGTGCAGGTGGCAAGGTTCTTATGGCCAAAACATCACATTGTGCAAATAAAGCATTTTGGGTGCCCTTCGAAAGGCCATTACTACCAGCAACATTGCAGGCAAACAGGAGAGTGGACACCCAGCAACAGAGCACTCAGATGGAAATGTGCTCCATGGCAGCTCAGATTGATGATGACGCAAGCCTTACATTCATAAGACTATGAGGAGCTGGTTGGATGAGAAGTTTTTCACACTGGTTTTGTTGCTAAGGGTCAATTGACTGGTCTGAGTCACCTTGACCAAATCCCATGCCACTTCATTTTCTTATTTGAAGGAGAAAGTTAATGACAGCCAGCCCAAAACCTTACCAGAACCTAAGGGCAAGATAAGAAAAAGAAGCTGCCTCCAAGGAACAAGCTGCATTCTGCAGGAAAAAACTTAAGACTGAGTGCAAAAATGAAAAGGCAAATTGAGCCACCATGTTGAGCATTGCTAAGATGAAAATATTTTAGGTGCTAATCTCACAGAATTTCCTAGGAATGATCCTTTCTTTTATTTCCAAAGTGCTTGTGTGGATACCATGAATAATATTATATTCAATCTTCATGCTTCAGTTACTTATGAAACACCCTGTAGATCAGACCCAGCAGTGCTCCCTTCTTTTCAAGATCACTGCTTACTGAGAATGTAAACAGTAGGAATGAAAATATTATTCATCATGATTAGTTCATGATGAGAAGAGGAATTAGGCATTACCTGAAGGCGCCGGATCTCATTCTGAAGCCTCTGCCGTGCAGTCTTTTCAAGGATCTCACGTCGCTCTGAGGACTTCACCAGGAACTCGTGAGACTGCTGCACCTTCTGCAGCTCCAACTCAAACTGCCATTCAAAAACTCCATCACAATCATCAGACCACATCACATGCATCATTATGCACCTCATGAAAACTCAGTCTTCCCTCATTTAGCTCAGAGCACATGGAGCTCTGTTTTAGAATTAAACAAAACAGGCAGCAATAATCAACAAGGACAGCAAAAAGCTCATTCATTTTAATCAGTGACTGTGGTAGCAATTTTACATTTTGCATCCACAGCAACCCCAGAGGTGAGAGAAATATATTTTCCTGGAATTTATGGATGCCCCAATGCAAATGCCATTATGAATGCCAAAATATGGTAATGGCATGTAAACAATATTCCAGAGAATACATTTTTGTTACCCAGCTTCACACAACATTATCAACCCTACCTTTGCTCTTTGCCCTATTTCAGATGATTTCTTGGAATCATGAAGCCTTCAAAGCATCCACAATATTGAATATACCTCAATTTGGAAAAGCTGATTCTGCATGGCCAAAGACTATGATGGTTACATACTGGGACCAGATCTACATTACATTCACCAACAAAAAATAAGGAAACTCAAGAAGGATTTGACCAACTTCCATGAAATTTGGTAAAGAAACTTATAATAGTGAGATGAAATCAACTTCCCCTTTTGTTTATGAAAGGGTTAAAGTTGCAAGAGCTTATGTACTTCAGTTCATCATTTCTTAAACTCACATAAACACATTTAAAACCATTAAGGAGAATATACTGGGAGGAGAATACAGGAATACTACTGTTTGTCCTGCAAATCTATAAATCAATATCTTCAGGAAACAATGTTTTCCTGCTTTTGAATTCAGCCATTTGCAACAGCACATCTGGAACTTTAACCAACATCCATGAAGTCAGACTGGTCAGATGGTCATATTTCTGTCAAAAGAAAATTCCCTAGTTCCACCATTATAAGCGAAACATTCTCATTTTCAGAGAAAGGCAGCTCCTGAAATGCAAAAATGGACTAAGATGGGCTTCTGGCATTCAGATTCCACAAAAAAATGCTTCTTCCTTTTCAAATGATAACTACATGATAGAGAACAACCTGGAACAATTTCCATTGTATGGGGAGTCAATGGATCATCAGCAAAATGAGTTTATGACAGAGGTGCATCAAAAACCTTCCCATGAGAAGTCTCTGTCCTGCTCACTAATATATGACAACACAGAGGTTCATGGAAAAAAGACATAAGGTTTCAATATCTAGAAAAAAAATGATTCAACGAGATCAACAATTGATGTACTAAAAGGGCATAAAAATCATGAGAATGGGTGTGCTTTCTTCAAGTATGGTCTGATATTTCAAGGGCAAATTAGATACATATTCCAATTCCAGAGAGAGTAACATATATTTTGAAACCTAGTCCTAAAATGATTCTCACTACATTGACATACTAGGCACCAAACTCACCCACCTTGCGAACCAAAAGCAGCTTTGAAGATGAGATCGATTTTTTTTTATGTCTTGAAGTGACATGGTAAACAAACAACACAACTCAGGGTAAGACCTACCTTTTGTAACTTAGCAACTCGCTTGTGGTACATTTCCAACTCAAGCTTCAGGGCAGAGTTTTCTTGGGAGAGCATATCTATCATCTCCTTCTCCCCACCTGGGGAGAGGGCTTCCAGCTTCCTGATAAACAAACCCCCAGTTACACACTATAACACTACATTGTTGACAACTCATTGTAAGGAATGGGAAAAGGAGAAAACTGTTCTTTTTACACCATAAAAGGCAGGTGGAGATGGAGGGGGGCGGGGAGGAGGGGAAGAACAAGGAAAAACTGACCAGACAATGGACATTGATGCATACCAATTGAGTCTAAACCAGCCCTGAAAAAATTTTCTCTTGCCTGCCATCCTTACAGCTGAAAATGCAGCTTCTGCATAGAAATTTGCTTTTCCACTTTTCAAAATGTAAAATGTGCATGATACTGGTGAGTGAACAAGTGAGAATTTTACAGGTCTGGTCTTGACATAATGGTATTGCAGGAAACTAAAAACAGCAAAAACTTCTATGGAAATGAAAAAAACTAAGTTAATTAGGATAAGGAGTAGGGGAGAAATCAGTGAGAAAGAATATAAGTTTAGGCTTAAAAGAATAATCAGGAAATCCTGAAGTTGATAAAATGCAGTTCAACACCAATAGACATTGCCAACATCATACAAGGATCTCAACAACTTCCAAAATGCCTACTGTACTATATCAGATTACGCTCAATCAAAATCCTATGGAATGCAAGTATATATTCCTAAGCTAGGTACATTATTTCTTATCCTTGCTGACAACTGGAAAAAGCAATCACTTTCCATTCCCTCTGGCAAGAAACAATCATCCACTAGAACTGCTTGCAACATCCAGGCCATTAACCACATATGTTCTACCCTGCAATGCAGGCCATGGTATGCCATTTTCTTTCAACTATGTACACCTCATTGTTTCCAATTCACTTTATATTCAACCTAACTAAGCATACAGGTCTACTTCACAGTCATTACCTGTCATTGACGAACTCACCGCAATATATGCCTCAGGCTGCTTTGTGGAGAGCAAAATTAATTCAATAGCTAAGTTTAAAATTGAGCACTGTTTGCATTATACTATGTTCCAACAAATATATTTTCTGGAACAGAGAATATTTAGCTGTCATGCTTTCCCATGTCAGCTTGTGATCCTACATATAGGGCAGTGTTCCATAAAGTGTCATTGACAATGACCACAGAAGAGGCTGAAACAAGGACCATGAAAGCTCAGTACAGGCCATCCAGGCATTGTATCCATCCAGTGCCTGTATATTTATGGTTCAGTTTAAAATGATCATGGCAGCTTCTGCTATCGATCTGCAAGTCAAGGAACGTTAATGAGTAATATTAGGCCTCAATTTAGGTGACGAAATGCATTTATTTACACAGGGTATAGCTGATCAATGAGCTGTTTGCCATGGCATCAATAAGAAAGCAAATGTATGACAATAGCAGCAATCCAAGGGAGGGATTAAAAGTAATTTCCCAACGTTGGGGTATACATTATTCGTACAGAAGGAGGATATGCAATGAATAATTCGGGATCTGGATTGGATACAATTTAATAAGGATTTCAAGATGATCCATATACCTGGCGGGTATGGTGGAAAGTGATCCTTAGCCATCACTTTTACTTGCATTTGAAAACACAAAACTTGGGCAATGTGTTTTCACTGGACAGAATTTTGGAGAAATGGAGGTTGAAAAAGGTGAATGGTAAGATTTTGGGTGTCTACCTCAGCAATTATTACAGAATTAAGATAACTGGCATAAATCTGTACTGTCTCTATCAAATTCATTTAATGGATCATGCAAAAGTTAAGTAAAACCTGATATTTTAATTTGATCAAATTCCAATAAATATACGCAAATGTTGCAACTGAACCTTTCTAAGCATACTTAAGAACATGTTTTTAAAGTAAACAAAAGGTTTTATCCTGGACATTGCCTGTAAAACATCAAACTATGCTGATATAGAAATGCCTCCGAGTCGCCGAAAAAACTCACTCCCGAGGGCAAGGCTAAAACAACTCCAAAACTCACTCCTCAACAGGTTAATGGCGGCTAGGGTTCTTATCTCCAACCCACTCAGTAATGCCTGGATGGCTTACACCACTAAAGTAACTATGCTGATCCTCTTCTTTCTTACTAGGAATTGCACAAGGAGGGACATTAGGATGACTCACAGGTCGTTGTCGGAATGTGGAAGGAGCTCAAGCTTTGTGAGATCTGGCTGGGAACGAGAGAGGGAGAGGGTGAGTCGCTCAGGAGACTTCAACTCAGTGATTTCCACCTCTCCCTGCCTCCATGACCCATGCTTCACCATTCCCATTGACTCACTAAGTGCTGCACCTGCTCCAAAGAGGTAATCTCAATCACTTAAAGGGTGGAGATAGCAAGTGCAATTAGATATACAACAAATAAAATGAAAACCACACTTCCAAAATACTGTAATATAATAGCTGAGAAGCCAACAGAAATGAGTAAATAGAAATTATGAAGGAAATACCACAAAAACAACAATACTAAATAAAATATCTGGCAAAGACACAAATATGAAATTGCCATCTTATGCTAATAACTATTGGCATACAGTCTATATGGGTCAATTTTCATGGATGCATACCAGATTTGACCAATGTCAAAAGAAAATGAATGCATTTTATGCCAATGGAAATAATGAAAATAAAAATTGTACAGATTGAAGGAGACTTGACACTCACTTAGGCCAAGTTTGTGCACTAGCTCCATCTTGGACTCAGCAGATATGTTAAGGTTGTAGATGCTCTCAAGGAGTCGCTGATTGGATTCCTGGGTAGCAGGGGTTGGGGTGGGGGTAGGAGTTGAGGTTGAGAGGGCAGGGGAGGAACAGACAGTGGGGATTGGGACCCGTACTTCCTTTGCCAGGTGCTTCAACACCTGTGACTGGTCTAGGTAGTGAGACGGGATTTCTGTGATCTCCTGCAAGCTTGAGTTAAGTTTTGACCCAAGAAATCCCAGACCCTGGGAGGACACAGCCCGCGATGTGCTCGATCCTCTCGACATACCACCTGAAACAGAGTAAGCAATACCAAAAGGGGGTATTGATAAGGACTGCAACAATGCATCCTAATGCTATCTATAGCAGAGGGCATCTATGATTTTACCATCCACTGTGATGCTTCCAACCCTCCCAGTGAGAGGGAGAGTTGGGCAACCACCTGATTGCAGCAAGATATAAAAGCTCCCACCCCCCCTTGATCACAATGCAGTATTATGGAATCCATAAGAGACACCCTTTCCTTCCTCCATTGCAACAAGAGGCAATAAATCATTTCTGCAATGTATAAACACATTTATCCATCATCAAGAGTTCTGGATAATGCATCAACATCTTCAAAACAGCCATACTTAAGACAAATTCCAATAAAATCATATGCCCATATCATTTCAGCTCTCTAATCCAACATGAAAATGATGAGATCCCAGTGCTACAATAACTTCTCATAAAGGAAACCAACAGCCAGCAATAAAATAGCATGAAGGTATTTAAAATTTCCTTAATTGGTCAGTTCCAACCCTGGCAATAAAAAATCTCAAGGAGGCCTAAGGCCTACATAAATGAACTGTTGAGCAGTAAATTAAATAAATAAGTAGAGTGGGTAAATTCATTGCCGTCACCAATTGCAGTATAAAGATAGGATATACTTGTTGCCTTACGTGTTGGAACATGCACTTTTGTTCTATAATTTCTAAACACATTTCCCATTCAATAATTGCAGTAGATTCTTGATAGTTTACTGATTGTTTACGTAGCAAATTCATTAATGCCAAAACTTTCTTTGCTGGCAAAAATGCTAATTTTCATAGATTTAACCATTGGCACACAACCAAAATTTGTTCTGCAATGGGTTAATGAATGCATCAACACAGAAAAAAAAGTACATGAAGCCCCTATTAGAAGCACCTAGGAACAAGAAAATGAGCAATATTGAGTACTTACTGGCACTGGTTGAGTACACCGGGGTGTTCTGCTTTGACTGCAGGGCAATGCTGTAGGGTGGGGGCAACTTGGGAGTGTCAAGTCCACTACTGCTGGCATAGCGAGACTCTGTGGGAAGCCTTGAAAGAGAGCAGCAGAAAATTTTTAAAATTCAACTTTTCCAGTACATTCTAACATTAACTAGACCCTTAGTAAGGAAGGGTAGATCAAAATGAACAGACCTATAAAGCTCGCATAAAAAACATCTGAAAAGGATTCATTGAGCAGGAAAACCAAAGACTAATTGGCCATAACAGACTTTCAAGGATACAAAAGGTCACATATCAGATGTGTATTGGGAATATGCAGCCAACTCTACTAGATATTACAAAGAGCACAGAGAAAAAAAAAAGCTACTTCTGTATTTTGGGTAGCTTAGAGGAATTGCTTTGCAGAAGCACTTGCAGGCTGTTCTAATATTATTTAAATATACAGAACATGCATCATATAGCATACAAGTCAATATGTAATGATGCAAATAGTTCTATGAGAAAACACTGAAATAATGTAACTTCTGACCCTGCATCAAACTTCTCATCCAGAATACTGTCACTATGGATGATCATGGTGTTGCAGGAGGAAGCATCATAGCTACGGCCTGATGCATCATAACCATAGCTGCCAGTTGAGGTCCCTTCTTCCCCCTGTGGCTCCTGGCGTGTTGTGTGACGCAGGAAATATTTCTCCTCGTGGGTTAAATTCTCTGTGGATGTTGACACATCTGTCTCGCTTCCACTGAAGCTCTGGTGCTGATTCATTGAGATTGCTGAAATGTATCCACCTGCCCATGAAAAATGAAGAGCTCAGAAACCAGTACTATGGCATGGACCTAAGCATCAATTTACAGAGTCCACTGTTTCTATGGAAGCAGCATGCAAACTTCTAAAGTATAGGTTACAAATTCAAGGTGAAGCAAATGCTTTTGAATGAAGAGTTGCACACAGGTTTTAAGTGTAGGGATTTAGGATTGCAGCATTTATCCCTCTAACTATATTAGATATGAAAACTTTATCAATCTATATAAACCTCTGCATGTTCCCATCTTTTAAAGCCTGATATTTATGGTCCTACCTTTGCCAGCACACTAGGAATACACTAGGAACTCCAGACAGTGTCAAGGTTGCTTATCTAGAGGCCCCTGTATCGAGGGAAATTCAACCAAATGCTCTTGTGAAATCTATGAAGACTCCTATGCATTTTTCCCTTCATCAATGACTTTGCATGCATGCAAAAACATTGATGAAGAAAGATGCGCAGGTTTCTCACCAAGGCTGAGGGGATGTGATGTCATAATATACAGACAACTCATTAGATGAGATTCATCATGTCATGTCTGTTGGTGGACATGAGTTATCACATGAGCAATGTTGGTGTTTCATACCTACTAATAGTTACAGTTGAGGAGGAATGGAATGAAAAAAAAGGGAGCTTCCTATATATGAAACCTAAGGTTTTGCTTTTGCTGTCAATTGATGAGCATCACATTATGATATTAAATGCAAGTGTGCAATTTAATGGTAACCTGGGTAACCATAGGTTACCATGAAATTGGTCCATCCTGATTTTAACATGAAGAAAATCCTGATGTTACTCTAATGTTTCTTCAAACTTAGAAGCATAGTGTGCACACTATGCTTCTAAATGGGGGTATATGCATAACATAGTCAAGAGTACCCATAGTGTACACAACATAGGAACACCTGATTCATGCAAGCACAAGAAATGACATGCTGGAAATTTGGGTTTTCTTACATATAAGCCAAGATATCACCACTTTTCCCACTTCTCAACTTTTTAACTATTTGGGCAAACTCTGAAGTATCATAATATCCATTTCCTTTCAGTTTTCATAAAGTTTCTATTATTAATACACCATTCCAAAAAAAAAAGAGGGATGAAACACAGTGCAAGACAAACTCTTTAATTTTTCTTAAAGCTCCAACAAGAGTCACCATATCACAAGCCTTATATAAGGACAACTATGAAAATTTGACATGTGGAGTTCAAGAATGCTCCCATTCTTAGAAAAGAATGAACATCATGAATTGACTGTTTCTTCCGGCAACAAGAAATACTTCTTAATACCCCAACTCCCAGCACACCTTTAACCTCACTCTCCTTCCTGGGAGAGAGGAAACTCATGACCCTCCAAAAACTTTCCAGATAGCATATTCATCCTGTTCTTAAACCTGCAGTATGGAGTCAAAGGAGACAGAAAGACTTCCAACGATACAGAATTCATGGCTACAACAGAGAACCTCAATGAACAAGAGAAGTCTATATCCACTCACTTTTGCCAAATGTACCTTATTTTGGAATGGGATATACCTGGAGCTTTCCACAAATGCACCAATTACAGGAATAAATCATCATAAGAGGCATCCATAAGCCCAAAACGAATGTAATGTTTAAGTTGGGCAACCTATCATTGCTTCTTTGAATCCAAAGGATCTTATCGACTTAAGCTAACGTTAGTTAGTACACGTACTACCATTACAGTGAAGGAAATCCTGTCACAGGCAGAAAAACACCCAAAACTGAGAAAGTGGAACTGCTAACTTTCTAGGCCAAATCTCACCTTGAGAGTTGGCCCCGGCTGTGACATTCGGAGGGCCGAGGCCGAGACCCACGCTTAAAATTCCATGTCCCCGGTAAGACGCCCCACTGGTGGTCGTCGTACTATTCGGCACATTCACATACGCCTGATTTACCGCCCTATAGGGGGAATAGGACCCCGACTGCTTGCTCGAGCTCATAATAGCATGATTTCAGAACGTATTCTCCTCGACGGCTCTCCGAGAACGAGAGCATGGCGATTTGACATCGCCATCTTGCGAATATGCAGGGTTGCCATATAACAGGGGTCGGGAACCTTTTGAAACATGTGAGCCATATTAAGATTGAGCTAAGTGCTAGTGAACGGCCAAAGATTTTCAATTTTTCCTGAAGTTGGCAACAGGCATGTGCATTCTTTGATACATGAGAAAAATTAGAAACAACCATTATTTTTAGCTTTGACCTATAAGCCAAAGTTTTCGGCCCGTGAGTCAAATTTGGCTCATGAGCCATAGGTTCCCGAACCCTGCCGTATGATGTAGCCGAAATCCTTAACCTTAAAACGCTGAACATTTCCACGAACGGCGTGGAATCTTCCTTTTATATCAGATCCGTCAATAAGTTCTCGGTCTCACCAAAAAACGAAGCATACACAGATTTTATTTTACAATCAGTGTTTAATGTAATACAGGGACAACATGAGGTAAAAATGCAGGGGGGGCAAAGAAGCTATGCAACTTGAGAAAAACGCAGTTCAGCGAGAAATGTTATCGCCTGCTTCAATGTCGCGAATTTTACGAGGCAAAGTCAATCGTGAAATTGAGTCGCTTGTGAATTTTCCCCCCATATGGGCTAATGGCCAAAACATAGGGAGTGGTCCAGTTGGTGAAATTCAAAATTAGCGAAATTATAATTGTTAAATTTTAGGATTTCGTGAAATCAAATTGGCAGAAATCCTCCCAGCGTTGTCCTGGCTGGCTGCAATAAGAACGGTATTTAACCCTTTAATGCCTGATGTGCATTGGAGAGAAAAAAAAAAAATTTCGCATAGATTTCCCAGCAAACATTCTAACATTCAATCAGCGTTGCATGAACGTTAATTTTGAACCTTCCCAGTGTTTGGTTGGCGTTGCAGCTAACATTAAAGTCACTATTGTAATGTAGCTTATCGGAAGACTCATATGAACGTTGAAGTTCAACACTGGCTGAACGTTGAGCCAACGCTCACTCCCACCCTTGTAGCATCCCAATAATTGGTCTATAATGAAGGCAATGGACTATATATCGTTCTGAAAGTACTAATCTTAGTACTTTACAGGGAATGGCTATCCCTTTCCTGCTCTGCGAAATATTGAAATCCTCCTTTCCTTGCTGGAGATAGAATGGCTATTCTATCTCCTAACAACGGAGGACAGAGCCAATATACAGTGAGGGACAAAACTGTTGCAATGTTCGACACATTGCCAGTTTATGACTCATAACTCGAGTATGACGAGTTCAATTTTACATAAATTTCAGTCAATCATACTTCAACTTCCTGGTTTTAGATTGGTGCTAGTCACATGTCAATTGGCCCCCTATTGGATGAGCTGCAGCTGTTGAAAGCTAACCAGGTCATTGCAACAATTTAGTCCCTACGTCCCACGCATTCCATCCACGATATAAAAAACCCCCCACAGTCTCCCATTTCCCAAATGAAACCTGGCCAGAAGCCACCTAAGCAAGCCTGTAGCTTGCCTAGGTGTAGATGGGGTAGGCTTGGTTGGGGTTGGGTTCCATTTGAACGTTCCTGGCAACATGAAACCTGTTTCCCAACAAACTCGCGACAGCATCGCCTCACTCGTCGACCATGGCCTCTCGACGCGTCGAATTGCAGTCCAGCTTGGCATAAGCTATAGCACCGTATCCCGGGTGCGTTCTCAAGTCAGAACCGACGCATCAAAGAGCAATGGTGGGCGCCCATCCAAGCTTTCCGCCACCGACAAGCGCAGAGTCATCAGGATGGTGACATCGGGTCAGACACAGCAGGTCAGGTTGACACAGCAGTGCAAGCGACGAGGCAGCTCAAAAGCAGCACCTCGGTAGAATGCAGTGCCAAAACTGTTCGCATAGCTCTGAAAGAAGCTGGTCTGAGGGCAACAACCAAGCGAAAGAAGCCGCAACTCCAGCCGCGGCATATCCGACAGCGGCTAGAATTCGCCCGCCGCCACCAACGCCAACACCAACACTGTAGAGGACTGGAAACGCATAATTTGGTCAGACGAGACAAAAATCAACCTTATGAGGTCGGATGGGCGTGATTGGACATGGAAACAGCCCGGCGAAGCCCTAGCAGAGCGGCACGTGAGGGAGACCCGCAAATATGGTGGAGTTGGCCTGATGTTTTGGGGCTGCATGACGGCCAAAGGAGTCGGGTTTGGCTGTCAAATCCAAGGAAGAATGGATGCCAGGCTCTATACAAACATCCTCCAGGAAAAATTGCTCCAGACACTGGCGCATTACCGCCTCGAAGTGGGAGAGGTGGTGTTTCAGCAGGACAATGATTCGAAACACACCTCGCGGCTGGCTCGCCAATGGTTCCAGGACCATGGAATCGAGGTCCTAGAATGGCCAGCACAGTCGCCAGACCTCAACCCAATAGAGCACTTGTGGCAACNAACACTACTTTAGGTAAAGTGGTACTGCTCTGCAATCGCTAGAAGTATCACGACAAGTTTGTTACTGCACAGACTTAGGACATGCACTGACAGGTTACAGCAATTGCCAGTAACCCAGTGTTGCCACACGCATTACAGTGTCGTCCGTCTCGTTATTTTATTGTCAGACCTCGTATGTAGCCCTGGAGGCAAGGGTTTCTCATAGGGAGTATGAGCTTGTTTATTGCCTGGGCTCCATGTTTCTGTCTCGAATATATGGATAATAAATTAATAAGTGTCCGATTTTATTGATTGTATAATAAGGCAAGGAAAAACATATGGTGAGGTACTAAACACTCCTGTGAGGGATGATTCCATGGAAAGATGGAAAAGTACTTTTGTGTACTGTGTGAAAAGAGAGACCCATTCCTCCATCTAGTGGCCAAGAGAACTTCAACATTTCCAAAAAATTAACTCCTCCCTGCAAATTGGGCACATTGGATCATCATGTCAGTCTGATATTGCTTCGATGATGGCAATATTGGGAAGCCAATTTTGAGCCAATATTTAACCGGTATTGGCAATAATGGCAAGATGCACGTAGACATCGTGCCTAATGTTGGTCCAGTATTGACCCAATATCTGGTGTTACTGTGGTAGTAACACTGGATAGGTTCTTGGTCGTTTTGCGAAAAATTTTTTTTCCCTATTGTATCAACTCTGGGGGAACGTTCCCACAATGCTACTATGCTTGCTAGATTCCTTGAAGCTAAGAAAATGAAATGTTTTGCATCATGCTACTCAAATTCGGTCATTTTAGTGCAATTTTGGGTTTTGACAAAATGGAAGAAATTTGCCAAAAAGAAAAACTGTAACAGGTAATTTGTAATTAAACATAATAATACATAATACATAATTTGTAAAACCTTAGACAAAGATGTGAGAACTAATACACGACATGATCAGGGCCAGATGAAGATTATGAGGGGCCTAAGGCTAATGAGAGGGAAGGGCCTAAGTATGAATTACATATTGTAGGGAAAAAATGGAATGGAGGGCCTAAAGTAGGGCCTAAAAATATGAGGGCCTAAGGTTATAGCTCATGGGTTAATCCGGAGTAGGACATGATATATGACAACTAATGCATGACAAAGTTTTTTTTAGGCATGAAATACAATCATGAAAAAATAAAGATTATGGTAAAAAAAGGCAAAAGATCTTGATTCAGCTACGGTACTGACCTAGTGTTTACAATATGCTGCCAGTTGTAAGAAATACACACTTAAAAGGTATTGGTGTTCTTCCCGATCGGGAACATCAAGGATGTTTCAAAAATTCCCCATTTGCCACATGGTGAATCTTAAGCAATTTTCTATAAAATTTATTCTGGCATGTTCCATATCTGGCACACTATGCAGTAAAGGGTAAATTAGATGAAACTACACACATCCCAGCAAACAAGACTACGTTGGACCAACGTTGTGCCAATGTTACGAACGTTGATTCAATGTTGATTTAACGTTGCTTCAACGTTATATGTTTCAAATTGTTTGCTGGGATGGTTGCATTCGGCAGCAGAAAATCTCTCAAATGAAAGTTCAAGGGGCGTGAAACAGAATCACAGAAGTTCTCTGGTTCGGGCAAACCGTTTCAACGCCCATAAAATTGATTGGATTTGCCACAAAAGCAGATAGCGACGAGCATCCGATTTTTCCCAATTCGTCAGTCGACTTACCCCGCTTTCGCTTTCGGTGTGGCCAATGGCAGACGACTCCACATTTTTTTTACTCTCTTCTTGGCGGAGAAGAGTGTCTCGGCTCGAGCAGTCGTCAAAGGCAGAGTTAAAACGGTATCTATTAGCTTCAAGTTTCGAGAGCGCATCTCTTCAGTTCATGAATGCTCTGAGACTTAACAACAAAAAAAAAAACAGGAGCCATGAAAATGATGCCGCATGAGAGTTCCGAAGGCAGACTTTCAGGCTATTACATTACAGGGAATAAAGGAGGCTATTAAAAAATCGCACCAAGACAGAAGGGGTGACTTGGTGCGATTTTTTTCTGTTTTTCTCAAGTTGTATAGCTTCTTTGCCCCCTGGCAGTTTTACCACATGTTGTCCCTGCATTACATTAAATATTGATAGTAAAAGAAAATCTGTGTGTGCTTCGTTTGTACCTGCCTCCCCCCCCCCCCACCTCCCGAAATGACGTCCCCGATGTAACGAAAGTCACGTTCAGTGACACGCTGCAAAAGATCATGCAACATTTTAATGGCGGATTTAAATAAAAGAAGATTCTTCTTGCCGTGAAACCGTTCTTGCACGGTCGATTTCAGTTGATCATCGTCACCAAAACGCATTTCTGGAAGGTCCTTTTTCAGATTTACAAACAGACAATAGCGAGTCAGAGCCATGTACTCAGCGTAGAGTCTGGAGATGACTCCGACTGTTTGCAAATCTAAAAAGGATCTTCGAGAAATGCAATTTCTGTGACGACGAAGAGCTGAAGTCGACCGAGCAAGAATGGTTTCACGGCAAGAATAATACATTTATTTTTATGAAGCCAGTATTAGAATGCTGCACGATCGTTGGCAGCGTGTCACTGAGCATCATTTTCATTATATTAAACGTTGGTAGTAAAATAAAATCTGTGCAAGCTTCATTTGTGAGCGAGGCCGAGAACTTATCGACGGACCTGGTAGGTGTGGAAAGGAAGATTCCATGCTCTTCGAATATGGCAACATTCAGCGTGTAATGGTTAATTTTTTAATTTAGGTGAAATCCAATCCGTCTTGACGTACACGTATGTAATGCCTCTTACACATTACATTACTTCCTTCAATGGGCTAACTATGTCAAAATAGCTGCGTTTGTAATGATGTATCTACCTCTCCAAATTCTCTAGTGGAAAAGGGGCATTCGGTGAAATAAAAAGTGGAGTGGAAAACAGAAAAGCTGGAAGTAATCATGAGGATGAAATGGTTTTTTACTTTAAAAAAAAATTATGATTGTGCACCAGAGAAGGCTTGAGTCTTGGAGGTCCGGCCAAACAAGTTTTACATATACTGTTTTCGGATTGAATTCGTGTGCTCATAGGAGCGCATCTATCGATTGCATGCAGTGACGTCAAGTGATCAAGTGGATGTCCGATGTTCCTCGTAGTGAGGTAGGAAAAAGCGGGATGTCTCCTCGGACCCCCTGGCCAGAAGTACCTGGAGTCTCCTTCATTGGGTCCTTCATTCCTATCTATATAGGAATTCCAAAGCCTTCCCTTAAGTCGTACGTGGGAAAAGATCAGGTACGGTACGGAAAACACACGGGACTGTATTTTTCAGGGCACCAGGGGCCTTTTCCACGAAAGTTTTTCAACTGTGCTTAAACCTCTCTTTTTTACTTTAACTTTATTTTTTACTTTAGTTCAACTAAGGCTTTGGTCATTACCAAGCATGGAGTAGATGGAGTCTGTGGCCCAGGAATCAAAGAGCCAACCACACATACGACGAGTTGGATCGGCATTGCTTCGCGACGGGCTGTACCCGTTTGAATTTTCTCCTGCACTGGGGCACAGATATCCAAGACGAGAGTCTAAATCTGCTCCGGAGTCCATCGTTGTCGTACACTTCATGGGGACTGTTTCGGTAGAGAAGTACTCTTTCCCGCTGCCACCGAATTAGATGAAGGCTTGCAGCCAGAACCGGCCTGAGACATGTGCCACGCGTGCTCCCGCACAGGGTGCAAGTTCGCCAGGGGCGCCAAAACGTGCCAGAATGAATGAAACAATGATGTATGCCACCTTCAGTTTTACTTCAGAGAGCGGAAATGCGTTCCACTTTGGCATCTTTTTGGACACTAGGGAATCACAAATAACAATTGCGAATCACAAATAACAAATATACAAAAAAAAATTACGAATAGCCGACATTTCATTATTATTATAATTAATTATTTGCTCTTTAACCATGTCTCAACATTTTTTAAACGTTATGCCGAATGGGAAAAAAATAGTCTATTCGAGCTACAAGATGATCGCGATCAAGGAGCTTTTCTTCTATTTCCAGTTCGGCATAATAAAAAAATCTTCGCTAGGTGAAAATCCTGACCGTGGAGTTCCAAAGGGTTACTGGCGCTTTCGCAAGCATCTCTGGTCCAAGTGCGGTTTCGTCGCAGACATTGACCGTCGCACTTTCTTGTCGCGAGGGCATTTCACGACGGGATATGTGATAACGTCTGAAGAAACGAGCGGATTCTCTCCAGTTCTAAAGTGCACCAGCCGTCAATCGCAGCTCGTGAATTAGCAATGAAATCATAAATCAACATTGCGAGCCGCTCTCATTTGCCCTTCTACCTTTATAAATACACCATATGTCACTTAGTCTCTCTACAGTCGAAAGTTACCTGATGCATTTGCCATCCGTCGAGACCTCTCGACCGGGACGAGGCTTTGGGTACTCCGAGAAGCCATGCCCTGGCCAAAAATCAATAACGGACAAAATAAAAAAATTAAAATTCAGAAAAGTTTCAAGCCTTCAGTCAGCTTGCATAATATTTTCTTGAAAATTACTGGAAATAATTTTATAAGCTTACAAATTTACGCGATACCGAAGGGGGTCGAATTTTTTCACCTTGTTTTTACTCTTGTCTGCAAGCTAGTCCCTCGCCGTGCGTGTGCGACGTGGGCTTAAGACGTTTTGTCCGCGACGAAAGATCATGGCTCCAAAGACAAAGTGAAGGATTTGATAGGTTGAATGAAGTGTTCAGTTTTTTTTTGCACTTGGCCAAGGAAGGGGTATCAAGGGTATCTTATAAATAAAAAGTTTGTGCTTTTTCTTGCTGATTTACCATCTTACCTTGAGGATGAACGTTCGCATGGCCCTTGGATTGGATCATTGCAGATACATTGTATGATGCACGCAGATGACTTAGTCATTATTTTCCAAACGCCAGGAGGACTGCGAAACGCTTTAAAGATTGCAAAGGTATTGTGAGGAGTGGGAATGGTAAATGAGAAAAAGGACTAAGGTTATGATATTCAGAAAAGGGTGGCGGAGAAAGAAGGGAGAGAACTGGTTTTATGGAAAAGAGAAGCTGGAGATGGTGAACAAGTTCTCGTATTTAGGGGTAGTGTTTACCTACAATGGAAAATGGACTAGTCGACTCCAGAATGCGACTCTGATAGGTAACAAAGCGGGGAATGCCTTGAGATCCTTCTACACGAAATACTCTAGAACTCGTAGCAGCCTGGCATGAAAATTATTTGACGCATTGGTGAGTAGTGGAATGCTTCATGGGGCAGAAATTTGGGGCTTTGAGAGAAATGAGGGAATTGAAAGAGTGCAAACAGAGTTTTTGAAGAGCATTACTGGGGTAGGGAAGGGAGCGCCAAGCGATGCAATTCTTTTAGATCATGGAAGAGCGGAAATGGTCTACATACAGTGGCACTGACTCGTAAAATATTGGGCAAAACTGAAAGAAGATGAGCATTCAATTATCAAAGAATGCTTCAGAATTCAGTTAAGGTGGACCCAAGAAGGACGAGAGTGCTGGACCGCAGATGGCAAGTCGACTCTAGACCAATCAGGCTTCTCACATGCACTCAAAGCCAAAAAAAAGTTACACCAAGGAGTTGAGCGATCTTGATGAAATTTGGTAATCTTACTCGTATTAGTGCGACATGAAATTGATGCTAGTTTCAAGGTCGTAGGTTGAATATTCGCAGAGAAAACTTGTCAAACATCCCAATTTAAATGGGGTCGGAAAGGTCGTACTCATCGCCCACAAAAAACATCTAGGAGCTTATTAATGAAATGCGAAACAGGAACTTCTACTGATGTTTAGTACAATGAAGCAAAGTTTCGAGGTCATAGGATGAAGCGATGCAGGGAAAACTTGCCGAGTCAGCCGAACGCCCCGAGGGATGGGGAAAAGGACGACTACATTGATCAGGTCAGTTTCCTTTTCTGCTTCCCTCCATTCGCTCTGCTTTGCTTCAATTGTTTATTTTTCGTCTTTAAAGCCATGCCAGGACGACATCCACAGAGGCAGTTTCGCCAACTTCACCAGTTCTACCGAGGTCGGTTAGTTGGCATGATGGAGGTAGGCCATAGCATGGATCAGGTTGCGCATCGGCAAAGTGTAAACTACCGTCCGGCGTTGGTGGACTCGGTAACAGAACAGGGCTAACCATGAACGGCAACGAGGATCAGGCCCCCCTCGCATCCCGACGCCCAGGGATGACCGGTATTTCAGGATGTAGATTCTCTGAGACCGATTCGCTTCTACCCGTGTTCATGGAAGGTACTGGTGGTAGGGAAAGGTATTTAGACAGGTCGTCTAGACCGCAGTCCCAGCTGGATTGCATGCCGGTACACAGTCTTAAAAGAAGTCTTTTGGCCCGTCCCCAGTCAAGATCATGCCAGATAACCGACCTCAATCGAACTGGTGAAGTTGGCGACACTGCCTCTGTGGACGTCGTCCTGCAATGGCTTTAAAGACGAAAAATAAACAATTGAAGCAAAGCAGAGTGAATGGAGGGAAGCAGAGAAGGAAACTGACCTGATCAGTGTAGTCGCCCTAATCCTCATCCATCGTAGCGTTAGGCTAGCTCGACAAGTTTTCCCTGCATCGCTTCATCCTATGACCTTGAAACTTTGCTTCATTGTATTAAACATCAGTAGAAGTTCTGTTTCGCATTTCATTAATAAGCTCCTTCTAGATGTTCTTTGTGGGCGATGAATACGACCCTTCCGACCCCACTTAAATTGGGATGTTTGACAAGTTTTCTCTGCGAATAATCAATCTACGACCTTGAAACTAGCATCAATTTCATGACGCCCTAATACGAGTATGATTACCCAATTTCATCAAGATCGCTCAACTCCTTGGTGTGACTTTTTTTTTGGCGATGAGTATATTTGACATGTGGGCCCAGGCGGAGACTGGCTTTTTAAGGAGTTTAGAAGAAGATGCATAGATATGGGCTTCCAGAAATTAATGGCAAGAACAAAGCAGAAATCCACGTTAGGCTTCTATCAGAAGGTGAAGAGGAGCTGTAGTCCAGAATACCTGGAAAAAAGTAGACAGTTTAGAAGACCCATGGGTTCACTGAAAATGGGCTTGTGGAGGTGGCAACCCAGAAAGGTTAACAATGAAGGAAAGATGTCGATATGCCCATCATGTGCAAGAGAAGAGAGTGAAACACATATACTGGTGGAATGCGAGGATTATCATGAATATAGAAATAAATATTTACCAGCGAGCTGCCGAAATTGGTGCATGAATGAATTAGTCAGATTGGCGCAAAGACAACACAATTATCTGCTATATTTGAATGTGTGAGGGAAAAGAGGGAAAGTAACCTTCAGCAAAAGGAAAAGTGTTAAGACAATGTACCGCTAGATCCTCCAATGTGATCTAAATAATGATTTGGAAAGCGCTTTATTGTTTGGTAGTGCAGAATATTCATATTTAAACGCAACATGGGGAATATTTTCCGTCTGTGGGTGGAGTTCGGCGAACGCTATAAGGCCCACCGGGTTGCATCCTCTCAGACTATATACAGGGTGGGTAAAAAAAAAACCGGTCCTCTTCTTTGAGACCTTTTATTGACAAAAAAATGCAAGAAAAAAAATTCAAACCTGACTACACGGAATTTCAATCAATTCTCTGTCTCGTGCTATAAAGTTTTTTCTAGATATTTCAAGAGAAAGCATAAAATTCAGCACTTGAAAAAAATTTGTCATGCAGAAAAATCGTTTTTCCTTGTACATTTCCTTGCGTCACCTGGTGGAGTCACGAGCCGGTTGCCGGCTTCGCTGGTGCGCCCATCAAGCACCCCACATTCCTATGACATTTCCCCCCTGCCCCCTTTATTCTCGTTAGACCGGTTTCAGTTCCCCCTCCCTCATCAAATGCTCAATCTGCCTATTCTTCATTCATTCCATTTTTCATTCTTTTGATCAGCCAGCAATGAGCGTGCTAGCTTCGCCCTTCGGCCTTGAGCAACTTCTTGGCTGATGGCGTGATCGGCAGCTGCTCACTCCGCGGTCACCAGTTCTTGTCTGCGTTTCTTTGTCTTTTTTGTTTATTGTGATTTTATTCATATTCTTGACTTGATAAATTCATTATAACTTTTTTTTGCCCGTCCAGAATGGTTTTAACCGATAGTGACAAATGCATTATCCAAGCACTTCGCGAAGAAAAAGGATACTCTCTGAACAAGATTCTTCAAGAGTATCCCAGCCGACAGTGGAAGAAGAGTACCGTCATTGATTTTCTGAAAAAACTGAGAGTTACTGGAAGCGGGAAACGTCGACCTGGAAGTGGCCGCCCAAAAACTGTTTGGACTGATGAAAATGTCCAAGCAGTTGAAGATTTGATTCTAAGCCAGGAAGGACGACCAGGGACTAGCATGAGTGTGCGACAAGTGGCCAAAGAAACTGGCATAGACCGTTCATCTGTGCGTCGAATTGTAAAAAAAGACTTGAATCTGAAAGCTTTCAAGAGAGTGACCGTCCAAGAACTGTCAGTGCCAGCGAAGAAGAAACGCCTGGACCGTTGCAAACGTCTTCTTGAGCGCTTTCCAACACCGGAGTCAGTGAAAAAAATTTGGTTCTCAGATGAAAAACGTTTCACTGTTGTTACGCCGCGTAACACACAAAATGACCGCGTGCATGCTGCTGTGAAAAAGAAGTCTGAAATTGTTCCTGAGAGACTGCTGCGAGAGAGGAGCTACTTCTCTGAATCAGTGATGGTTTCCTTGGCAGTGTCTTCGCGTGGAAAAACTAAGATTTTCTTCATTCCCCGAGGTGTGAAGATAAACTCTCAGAACTACCGTGAAGAACTTCTTTCAGAAATGCTGCCCGAAATTGAAGATGTGATGCACGATTACACCTTCATGCAAGACGGTGCTCCTGCCCATACCGCTCTGGCAACAATTCAGTGGCTTCGTGAAAACTGTCCTGATTTCATCGAACCTGAAAATTGGCCGCCCAATAGCCCTGACTTAAACCCAGTCGATTATTTTGTGTGGTCCGCGTTGGAAGAGAAAGTGTATCGCGGGCAAAAAATCCGGTGCGTCGCTGAACTGAAGGAACGAATCCTGGTAGCATGGGAAGAACTTTCACAGGGCTCAATTGCCACTGCCATCCTCAAGTGGAAAGGGAGGTTGAAGGCAGTTATTCGGCAGAAAGGTGGCCATATTGAGCCATTCGTCAAACGATGAGCTTGTGCTAAACTTGCGTTGGTTTTGTATTTCTTGTGTTTGAACGTGAAAAGGCTCTGTGTTTGGTAAAAAAGCGTGATTTTCAACTTTTTTCAGCGGAAAGTTTTTTTCAAATCAATTTATCTCCCATGTTTTTCGGCGGAACTCAATTGCAACTGATATCATTGGAAAGCGAATTAAATGAACTTTCATTTCATTTTTGTTACATTCTTCTAGCTCAATTTGGGACCGAGATATAAGGTTTCAAAGTAGAGGACCGGTTTTTTTTTACCCACCCTGGGTATATACATACATATAGGATGAGTCAAAAGTCACTGGACGACTTTGAACAACTATGACTCAGGAAGGAAGGCATTAATTTACACACTGTTTTTGCTCATGAAAGAACATGCGTTAATTGAAACATGGAAATTTCCATGAAGTACCTATAAGAAATTGAACGAGCCTACAAAAAACGAGAAATAACATTTTTCAACATAAAAGTGATAAGGTGCAACGGACGACCTATTTGCGATCATTTTCCTTTAATTTTTACAGCTCACATTGTGATTTTCTGATAATCCCGATGAACTTTCTTTGGAGGAATGTGTCGCCATCGTTAATTTATTCTCCATCTGTGAAGGAAATCTTTCCGAAGTGAAGAGTCGTTTTGTTTTGAAGACATGTGGATAAGCCGGGTCGGGCCTATCGAGTGGTCTCCCACGTCGCCGGACCTGACTCCACTCGACTTCTGGATGTCGGGTTTCATTTAAAGACCAGGTATAGTCCGAAAACTCGCGCATGATCATTGAACTGAAGCAACGCATGACCGAGAAGATTGTTGGAGTTGCCTTTCGGTGAAGCCTCGCGTGATCGAGCTTGATGGTGCTCAATATCATGGTCAGTATTTACAGTCAGGCTTCGAAAACCGCGTCACAGTCAGGGCCGTTTCTAGGCATATTGGCTCCCAGGGCAAGGAGTACCGATGACGCAGCCCCCCCACCAAACCAACAACTGCGACGCGAAGCACCACCGCAACTCTGGCGATTAGGACCTAACAAGGGGAAGCTGACAGGGAGCCGGAACTGATGGAAATCATCTTGTTACATTTGTAAATAATCAAAGCCAAGTCAAGGCATTTTCTTCCACGGTAACCATATAAAAAATACTTGCGTTTATTTTTGTGTTTCTTGGTGCGGCGTCCCCGCACGAATGTTCGCCGGTGAGTGGCCCCTGCGCCAATAGAAACCCGATCGCACTCCACTGCTCCTCAGGTGTTGACACTTCCACTCTGAGCGCCATTTCTTATTGTTTCCCCTGCTACCAATGCCTTCTCACCTACACCACCTCGGAAGTAAATAGATAAGGACATGTACTTTCCTCTTTAATTTTTTTTGTGTGTGCAACACAGTATCTGCAAAAAATGTTGATTGACATTTTCCGACTTTCCCTTGTATAATTTACGAAAAAATTGTGTACTTCGTGGCTGAATTCGTGGTTTCGATACCTGAAAATAAAGTCGCACAAACACTGCCAATGATTCTTTTATTCGAGTAACATAAGAAAGCACGATCCAATACGCATGCATTTTTTTTATGGCACTTGGACGAGAGTAGGAAAAAATCTATTAGGGCATCTATTTAAAAAAAATTGCAAACGCAAGTGATGAAAATCAGATCCAGAAAATGCACGACTGAATATTGCACTAAAAAGAAAAACAATGAAAAAAATTCAACTTGTAAGAAACCGAAGAAATCCTCTCACGGATTGGCAGTACATATTTTTTCTTCTTTTGGAGAGATGGAAGCCTGAATCCTCGCCGTTGCTGGGGAGACTAGAAATTGTGCGAGCAGAAGCGACCTCCCGCTCCGCCTCTCACTCCCCGGCAGGCTCCTCAGAGTCCTTGACCAGGGAGTCGAGGCGGCGCTGGATGTTTTCGAAGGAGTCCGACCCCAAGTAGTCCGCGCGCCCGCTCTCCCATGCGGCCAGGCGCTCGGCCTCCGTCTTGGGCGCTCGGGGCGCATCCGTCTCCGGCTCCGAGATGCGGAGGCTGCTCAGCGACGCACCCAGATCGGCCTACATATGCATCATCGAGAACTTTCCATATTGCGCAAAAATTCTCAGTTCCCAAGCACAGCTACGACATCGAGAGTTCATCGACCTAATGTCTATTTTCACACTACACGTGACTGGTCTCAGAGCGTCGAAAAAGTTACGTCAGTCGATGTTTATTGTTCGTTGGCAACGAGAGGAAGACTTCTACGAATAGATGACTGACAAAATGTTAGTAATTTACAACAGCAGACAAAATTACACCGAATCAGTAATGTCAAAGGAGCAGAGGTAAACCAGCCTCAGAATGCTTTTGATTATTTTGCCAAAAAAAGACATTGTAGAAGTGTTATACACGATAAATACAGGTTAGAGTGGCGATTAACGAAAATTTTGATCGAATGAGGTCTTTTGTGAATAAATTGAGGGACAGTTTTGGAGTATGACGAAGTAGTGTGGATTTGAGGCAAGACCAATCATGACAGTGGGAGCAATGCTCAGGATTTCATCTCAAAGAGGCTTTGAGAGAGAAATGAAAATTCGTGCAGCATGCCGCTTCTCTCAGATGGGAAAGGACGAAACAAAATTCTGATTAAGCTTGGCAGCATGCAATGCGCGGGGACCAGCAGATGCAGGCAGAGACAAGTACCAGGTTTTGAGGCCTTCTTCAGAGAATTTATTTAATTACGAGGTTTTTGGCTTCCCTTCGAGGAAAGGGGACTGGAAGACTCAATAGATGCAGACAGTTGGAGGGGTTAGCTGGATCGTTTTACTCGAAGAGGAAAGAAGCAGTCAGAGGAAGAAGCCTTTTGAGGAAAAGCTGAGCGATTACTCAGGGTGGTGAAGGACAGACCGATCGACAATCGAGAGAAACTGACCCAAAGAAGGGGGGAAGGTGTGTGAATGGAGGAAAGGGGGCGTGCAAGACACCATTTTAAAACACAAGAAAAAAAAATTCACAATAGTAAAAAAAATATATATAAATACGCTTCTCTAAAGGAAGACCATTCAAAACCTGATAGCTAGTCTACTGAATACCTGCATTGCTGGTTCCCATGGCGACCAAGGCGGCAGATCCAGCTTTGCTCCAGAGGTGCCCAAACCTGCTTTTGCTTTCCCTTTTGCCTGACTGCGTGTGGGGATATCAGAGTCCGTTTGCGGTCTGGGTTCGGAGTCGGTTCGAAAGTCAGATGATTTTTGGGCTGTCTGGGTGAGTGTGTCAGGTGATTTTTTAGAAAGTGGAATGTCAGTTCTTTTTGGATCAGAGAGGGTTTCGGTCGGTGTGGCAGATAAAGTCAAAGAGTCCATCAACTCGGTGGGAGTATTTGGGATGAGAAGCGATGTGAGATCGGTCAGCGCTCGATCCGTATAAGCAGTCGTCTCAGGATAAGGCAAAAAAGTGGAGATTGTATCAGATTCTAGAGCAGTCCGCATCCGTGTATCAAGCGCCTGGCTAGCCATCGGGATCTGAGTGGCAAGAAGCATCATATGAGAGACGGGCGAATCAAAGACGGTCGGAGTTTGAGGCGCGACAGTCGTCGAGATCAGGCTCCATGGCTGCGGAATGCTGGGTTTCAAGTTTTGATTCTCGCTATCACATCGTTCAGCACCTTTTGATTCCTCAATCACACTCGTGGCAAGCTTTTCTTCATCTGAATGTTTCGTTGCTTCGCTTTGCTTCGCTTCGGCTCCTGTCGTTGATTCATCTTCATTAGTGCTGGCTAAGATATCTTGAGTTTTCAGAGCTCCCGATTCATCTGGACTTTCAGCTGTTTGTGTGAGTTTATCTTGCTCTGATGCACTAGGCTCTGTAACATCACCTTCAGCCCCTCCTTCCTCTTCCTGGGATCCCTTAATCACGAGTTCATCTAGGTTCACGTCAGTTTCTCGAGTCATTCTCTCTTGCCTTGGTACACTTGATTCTACTTCCTCTTGTTTCGCGTCCGATGCTGCCGTGCTTTCATCTCGAATGGTTTCTGGCTCCGGCTGCATTGTCTCGTGGAATGCTGCTGGCAGCGGGGTATCGGCTGCTGGCAGCGGGGTATCGGCTGCTGGCAGCGGGGTATCGGCTGCTGGCAGCGGGGTATCGGCTGCTGGCAGCGGGGTATCGGCTGCTGGCAGCGGGGTATCGGCTGCCTTCGTTTCAACCGCTACTTGACCAGTCAGATCATCCTGTTTTATGGTCTCCATTGCTGCCTTATGCTGTCCTTGTTCTATTTTCTTGGGTAGATTAGGCTGTTGCAAACCAACAGCAGCTACCTCATGAGAGGGCATTTCAAGCTCCAACACTTCAGTTCCTTCTTTATCCAGGGGCTCAATTCGCGCATGGTCCTTACCTTGATCTAAGCCATGCAGGTCAGCTTGTGCCAGCCGAGTAGGTTTAGACTTTATTTTCGCCTTCACAGAAGATTTTTCAGTTTTTTTCTGCCTCTTTTCGGAAGTCTCAGGCTTCCTCTTGCGCGATTCCCATCTTGATTTTTCAGGCGTATCTTCCCTGAAAAAGGCTGTCGCACCAAGCTCCTTTTTCAAGGCTTCCAGAGCTGACTTAGCCGCTTCGGCTTCAGCCATCATTGCACTTAACTCCTGCTCTATTACCTTCTTTGCCTTCTCCTGAATTTGAGCCTTCAAGTCTAGCTCAGTGGCAGTTGGGAGATTGCTTTCCTTTGCAACAGATGCTTCTTCCCGTTGAACAGTTAGCGCAGTTTTGTCATCTTCAATTCCTCCCAGCAGCAATGTTGCTGCCTCTGTTACATGGTCAACGCCATTATGCAATGGGTCAGTCGTGGAGACATCTGGCAATGACCTGAAATAAGCGCCAGTGTCTTTTGACGCATCCGACGATGGAACTTCATCTTCTTGACTCAGTGACTCTAGATCTCTAGGAACAGATGTGTTCTTCAGGATTCCCTTCAGAGGCTTCCGAGACGTCTCTTCGAGGCTCTTACGTGTTTCTTCCATACGACTCTCAAACGAAGAACGGAGTTCACTAGAGGATTTTGACTGAAGAAGTGGCCATTTTCCAAGACTTACGGGTGGTTCTACATCATCTAGTTGCACCTGTGCTGCTACTATGCCCTCTTTGTTTTGAGTCTTCATCTTCTCCAATATGTATGAGTCTTGAGATTTGGATGCTCTGACTTTCTTGCTGCGTCGTGACCGCCGCCGTTCCTTTGTGGCTCGTGTTACCACAGGGCCTCCAACTGGTAAAATGTCCCAGATCATTGGACGGGACTGGTCAGGGGCATCGATGTAGACATGTCGTTTCTCCACCTCAGGCTCAATCTCCACTTTCAGATCAGGCCCCCCAACAGGGTACACATCCCAGATCATCGGTCGTGATTCGGCGGGTTTCTCGATGTCGGGTGGTTTAAATGGCTCTTCAACTCTAACAGGTTCTACATTTTGGACTGGAGCAATGTGGATGTGGTGCTCAGGTGGTCCTGCATGGTGTGCAGGAATATATTCATGATGACGTGGTGGTTGGAAATGACCAGATTGCTGTTCTTGATGAGCAGGGAAAGAATGAAAATGAGGAGCTAGTTGATGTTCTGGAGGCTGCTGTCGATCGTGATGCTGATGCTGTCGATCGTGATGCTGATGCTGTTGATCGTGATGCTGATGCTGTTGATCGTGATGCTGATGCTGTTGATCGTGATGCTGATGCTGTTGATCGTGATGCTGATGCTGCTGATCGTGATGCTGCTCATGATGCACTCTATGAGGATCCCCATAATACTCATGAGTCTCATGATGAACATGATAGGTTCCATGTTGAGCACTTCCTTCATGGAAAGTGGGTGACTGTTCATGCTTTTCAAAATGATCATGTCTCTGCTGCTCGTGAATACAGTCAGGGACAATACGGTCCTGTCGAAATTCCTGCCACACATAGCTGTCAGTTGGGATAAATGCTACATGGGAGTGGTCAGTGATCCGGATATAGGTGTCTGGGATATCCAACAGGTGAGAAAAGTTGTTGAGCAAGTAGGCAGGCAGATTAGCGTAGATTACGTCACCAAATTCTGGGTGGTCAGCCAACTGGAGATGTGTTAGGAACGCAGTGAGACCAAGGGATAGAGAAAGCAAAAAAAGGGACAGGGAGAGAAAAAAAAAACAGGATGAAAAAACCAAGGGAGCAACTGCCACACCGCAGCAAAAAAAAGACGAAGTGTTACTAAGTTATGAAATGCAGGGGAGGACAGACAGAACACGTATGTCATAACTCCACGGTCTTCCTTTTATGACTTGGCAATTCTAACAAGAACGTCCCAATTTTTTAAAGGCCTAAATCTGTCAAAATTCAACCCCTCAGGCTGGTCATTTTCCAGCTGCATGAAAACAATTTTATAGCAAAAAGAAACTAAAACATCCTTGATTGAATGAAGGGTGAGCTAGTCAGGTGCAATACCTGTTCCACCACCTTAGCCCTTCCCATCAATTGTTCTTAACTGTTACAAGAATCACAACCTGAACTTTCAATCATGACTTAATTGGAATTCAGAATACTTTCACAGTAAAACAATGAATCAGCATGACTACGAGCATAACTTTGAATGACTGGGGGAAAAATATGTAGCGCATAAAACTGGCAAAATCGATCACACTAATTGAAAGTCTACTTCTGCAAGTCTGGAGAAGATGGCAATCAAATATTAACATTTTCAATGGGCAGGAATAAGAGCCACCTGATTATAATCACGAAAACTAAAATAAATGAATTTTGTAAGGCACACCTGAGGCAATAGCTGTGCTGCCAATATATTGAGAATGTAATAAATCAGACTAATTTTGCTTCCAAAGTAAAAACTCTGCACAGGACATTCCATTTAGTACTCATGCTATCCTAACCACGATGAAAAAAAATTCCACCTTTCTTCATGACCCTACAGTGGCTTCATTTTCCTTGGTCCAAAAAATCAGTTACTAGTGGACTTGAAAAAACTTAATAGGAATATTGAAGGCTGGGAACTCCTTGTAATGCTGGAAGCAAAGTTGCAAGTTAAACTTGGCAATCAACAGATTCTTCTCACTCACTATGGGCATCATGGAGTTCCTCTGATGCAGTTTGAAAACCTTATTATGATTTCCCTAACATTAACTACCATCCTTCCAACCAATTAGGTTGAAACATCCTTAAGAAGTGCCGAGGTAAATTACAAGGGGTGTCCAGTACATGGAATCTATCCCATTATATTCCAAAACTAAAATTCCAAATTTGGGTTTCAGGAAGTGGAATTCCAAGGTACCACCCATAACCATTACTGACTTTTTACCCCTTTCATTCAAGGTGATGGGGCAGTTCAATAGGTTAAAAGTGCATGAATGTAAAACAATATATTTAAATTAAAAAAACTACTCCAAGGGGCATAATTTGAATTGTCTTAATGGCAAAAAAAAAGCCTGATGAAATAATATTTACAGGACTTTAAAGCTTATATTTTCTAGTCACTGAAGATGAATCAAGACTGAAGTAAACCACAATGCACATTAAGGAAATGAATACAAATCCCATCATTCTAACTTTCTGCAAACTGAAGCAGAATTCCTTATATATTGAAGCAAGAACTGAAAAGTGAAAAGTAAAAGTAGAAAAGTAGTAAAGGATTTCTGCAGAGGGAGGTGCAACAGGTTAACAAAAAAGCTCAGTGATCATGCTTGGGGGGGGGGGGGGGGGGGGGGTCTGCATTACAGTACCTTAAGGGGGGGGTGGGGGGGGGGGGGGGGGGGGGGGGGATGTCTGCATTACAGTACCTTACATCCCACCTTAAAGTGGCATCCCATATAAATTGGGCCTAAGCAATTAACACCCTATTGAATTTTTTATATTTCACAAAGTGGAAGGATAATTGAACTAGTGTGTTGCCAGGTCAAGGAACATACCAATATCCTAATAATTCCACATTTACTGAATGAATTTTCTTAACCTAGCACAGAGGATCACCAGGACTGCTCTCAACTCTCATTCTTCACCCAGCAATATGAAAATGCATCTTCATATTCTTTTGTCAAGTAGTAGCCTTTCCTCTTTTCTGTCCTTTATTTCCCAATTATCACATTCTACATAATAAAATAACCAGCTAGAGGGGTTGAAAGAGGCATAACTATGCAAGGTTCACAAGCATGCCAACTACATCCCATTGCCTCCAAAAAAAAAGGCATTCAGGGACTTCTGAATAGCTTTGCTGGTCTGGCCTTGGCACTCATATCAGCCAGCATACACTCAAGAAACCATGGCATCCAGCTAAATGATCATTGATGTACTACTGTATTTCACTGCCCCTACATTCTTCTTTAATATTGAAGTGACTGAATACAATTTACTTGGATGCAAACCTGAGACCCTAATGCTTCCAAATGAGCATCTGAACGTTCTAAAGTGCTGCTATATAGCACACTCTTTGAAAATGTACTCACTCACCTCAGGAACTCCTGGGAGGGACTGCACGTTAAAAGAAACAGCAATTCTTCATCCATATTTTTTGCCAGTACCTGGAGTTTATATGCTAGTTGACTCAGCTTTATTATGAGACTGATGAGACAATTTTCATTATGTGAAATTGCTATCAAATTAATGATGGCAAGCAAATATTTCTTGAAACTCACATATTCACTGGTGAGTTTTGGGATGATGTTGTCAGCAAACAGATCCCACCACAGCTTCAAATATGATAGAGAGTGCTGATACTCTGGCCCTCCTTGCATAGACACCTGCAAAAATAATTAAAATCAGATATTGAACCACTGAGTTAGATAAAGCATGAAAAAAGTTAAATAGCTCGGGTGCCTAATGACAGACCTCTCGAGTGACGGGATTAAAGTGGTGCATCCATGGCTTGATGACACCAATGAAGTGGACTATCTTCACATCTTTGCCATACCTGTGCCATGCAAAAAAAAAAGGGGATGTCATGGAGTTTCCACCACTTCACACCTAATGCATATGATTTTGTTCAGAGGACAATAAAAAAATGAATGCCACAGATGTGGTCCTTGAGTCTTATCCCATTCCCTCAAGTCCCACAATCTTGATACAAACTATAGCTCACTAACAGACACCAAGGGTGATATTAGGATGAAACAATGGCAACAGTGGTTTAGAGTTTGGGGACAAGTGCTTGCCATGAAGTGTTTTCTGGGTACTTGTGCCAAAGTTGACAGGTGTGCCAATATTGCCAAAAAAAGAAGTATTCCCTCTGACTCATAACTAGTAACTCCTTTTCTCTCAGATTCTATTCATCACAAACCATCATAGCATTGGGCCACTTTTATTGAATACCCATGGTTCTTCAGTATGCTAAGCTCTCCAGCACCTAAAAAGCACAACCACACATCACAGAAATATGGCAAGTACTGCATTTCTTAAATATGGGAAACTGGGTACAGCAAAAACTTAATTTTCCAAGAAAACAGTCGAACAAAAAAATCAGGAAAGCAGTCATTTCATAAGAGGCCATTCCTAGCTCAAAAAGCTTTCATGGCTTCCTTCATTCAAAGAGACAGCTCTCTATTAACTAGCCCCTTATTTATTTGAAAAAGTAACTAATAATGGTAATTCAATTTTTTATTTTTAAGGAATAAATACGAGTTAGTTTCTCTCCTGTCACAACCCTCTGAGATGCTGAGAGCTCAAACAAAACTTTCAACCTCCCTTCATGCAGCGGTGCCACTCCATGCAGCAAGGATATACCCCAAGTGTCCCCATCTGCTTCCACAGCAAATCTTACTCTTTGGCCATTTACCTATGTTCTCACCTCACATGGTCTTGCAAGTCTGCCATGCAATCTGCGTGGTCTCCATGATTAAGCTACCACAGAGGTCAGCAAGATTAAGTAGGAATTTCCCAACTTCCCTCGTCCCCAATGAATACATCCTTTAAAGACATTCTGTAAATGGTAAACCTGATAACTCATTCACATGGGGTTTAAACAACACAAACATGAAAATGCTAGTCAAAAGCAAGATCACCTCAGCTAGAATCATCTACTAGATATGATATTGCTTCCTTTCATTTCCAGCAGTTAAGGAATTCACTGTCATGGTAAGATTAGGGGACAGAATGTGTTGAGAGGGCACTGACTGTCGGACAGCAGGGAGATAGGAATAGATTGCAGTAGCAACAACATTGTAGATAAATGGGAGATGTTTGCTGATGTCTTTGGTGGCCCAGTCAGAGAAATAGAGATTCAAGAGGCCCTGGTCCCCACCTGATCAGTCCAGAATGTAAAAAAATGATTAGCATACAGAAAATGAACATCCCATTCCAGCACACTTGTCTCTACCAACTTGAAAATAAAAAAAATACATGAAATACATTAGAACTTCAAATCATTGCCTTCTATGGTCTGTAAACCCAATCCTTATGAATTTGAGAGGTTAACTATGTATGAGGAAAGTTGATGATCCAGAGTTGAAACACACCATCAAAGCTGCCATGTTTGACAGCAAAGTCGAGCAAGGCTGTGTAGGTGTCTACAGAGGGTCGAAACACAAACACGCCAGAGTTGAAGCAGTCCGGCCAGCCACAGTCGGGTGCAGCTGAAAACTCCTCGCGCTCAAACAGCTCATCACAGGGTTGCACCACCTACAGCAGATACCAATGGTCACCCATCCATTGCTAAGGGAAATTGAGGAAACGGAACAATGGAGTACAAGAGTGTCTGCATCGAGGAAGATGGCCTTTGAGAACTGGATGAGGCGCCAGCAGTGGAGCTTGGTGAATGTGACACCCAAGTCTGGACGATCCAAGATGGCCAAGTTAGTCACATCTCGTGAGTCCAGCACATTCACCTCCTCCACCAAGTGAAACGTTTCTGCCAACAACGACCTGTGTGCAAGATCATCCAAGGAAATAAAAGCCATAAATACGGTGTCAAATTCCAAAAACCACAAGAATATGATACTCTTGGATCTGAATACTTGGGGAAAGCTCAAGAGGTCTACAGAATCCAAATCACATTACAGGATCCTTTGCAGGAAGTGCTGTGAAGCTATTCACTCAGAGGCAGAAATTCCTCCCATCATACAGTAACAGGTAGAGCAGGCCTATTCAAATTATGTAATAAATCCAATAGGTCCTCCAGGGATAGAATCCTGATGATCTGATTTAAGTTCTGGACATTTACAATAAATACACAGCACCTAGTCCACTTTGGTTCACCCATTCAGCATTACTTTAACCCTCATCCAGGCAAGCTTTTTTACAACCTATTCCAGGCAAGGTGAGTCTGTCAGACTCATGTAAAATAAGGCAGTTTGCTGCGGTTATGGTATGTATTCTTATAAATAACAGTACTGTAACTAAAATAATACAGACAATTTATTTAATGGTCCTGATAGTTCAAAAAAATGACAGTAATAGACCAAAATATGTCATAGTGAGTCCAGAAGACTCACCTTGCCTGGATTAGGGTTAAGGAGCCACACTTAATGAAGTCAAAATCATATTGAGGAGACTGAGGAATCTGCAATGAGAATAAAGCATGTCAAGGGCATGGGCAGGCTGCCAGCCAGACTCACCTTTTTGCATAAAAATGCAGACTGAGCAACCACAAGTGCAAGTACCATACTGGTACTAGGCATGAGGACAGAAATAACATTCCTAAATCTGACCACTCCAGATTTAGGAACTTTTTGAATTATCCCAGCAACAAAACTGGATATTACCAACATGGAACAGGCATACCAAAGCAATCATGAAGACTCATTCATGAAACCATTCAATAAAAGGACCTTACAAACCTATATATAGTTCCTAAACCAGTTCCCCCCCCCCCTTTCATTTTCTCACAACTATCATACACACCATTTTAATTTGCCAAATTCCTTCTGATCGGCTGCTTATACAACTGAATCCTTCACATGGAGAAGGGGAATACAGTATTCCCCATCTTCACAAGAAACTCAGTGGGATCAACTAGGGCAGTGGTTCTCAACCTTTTTGATCCTATGGCCCACCTTAATGACTGCCAAATGATCCAAGGCCCACTACACTTACATAATTCTTATTACATAATTCTTATTACATAATTCTTATTTACATAATTCTTATTTGTATATCTGTTAATTGTTATTTTTAAATTTATGGATACTTCTTGTGGCCCAAACGGCCATGGGCCGTGGAGCGTGGGCTCCACGGCCCATCAGTGGGCCGCAGCCCACCGGTTGAGAACCACTGTCCTAGGATACCTGCATTCACCCCATTAGAATGAGCTGAGGGACAGACCTCATGGAGGACGTAACACCAGGTGTGACCATGCAAACCAGAGTGCGACCTGTGTTCACCCTCTGCAGGGAATGACCCAGAACCAAAGCTCCCAGGGCATAAGTATCATTTGTGGCCAAGGTCACCCAGGCTTCCTCTGGAACTGCAACCCAGAAACAATGAAGGAAATCCAATATTATTCCATCCTTTATGGAAACGTTGATCAAACGGATAGGTTCATACTTGAAACCACATTTTACGGTGTGTTCTAAAAGATTTCAACCGAATGAATCATAATGAGACAACATTTGAGAAAAAAAAACAGCAAGAACTTCTTCCTCTTGCATCGGCAACAGGCAGGCGAAATTGGTGCTAATGAAAGAATGATAAAGAATTGACATGCGTTTCAAAGATTAGCAGCCTCCATCCCCTCACGCATTACATTCGCATGCCGACAGGGAAGCTAAAGGTCACAGTGCCCTAGATAGGAGACAAGTCTTGCAAGGAATCCCAGTTGAGAAGCCAAAAGAGTAGGAACATGTAACCAGAAGTGATGAGACCTCCTTCCCCACTTGGCACCTAGCTCCAATGCCTTTTTTTGCTTTAACCTCCAGTGCTCTAATGTGAATCACTCAAAGGGTAAGACAAGGGTAGAAGCCAGGGTTGCCAGACCGTCGCAGTTCTCACATTCCTTCATAAAAGCTTCAACCATGCTAGAGTAGGGAAAAACCACCAATGTTCGGTCAATTAAGCTGGGCGAGCTTTGTAACTCGCTTGAAATGCCTAAACGGCACATACTTTTTTCAGTCTGGAAGTACGATATGAGTAGTTATGAGCATTATTAAGATGTTCTTTGAAGCTTTATAGCTTCCGATAGTGCTGTGGTTCCGCGTTCCAAATGCCGCAAGAGACAAAGTATGAACTTCTCACTTCTGCTAATGCTTGTAACACTTTCCCGACGAAGGAATGCATAGCCGCCCCAATTATTAAATAAATTGGCAGGACATCAACGGAATGCTCTGCAAGCCCCGCTTTTTATCCAGGCGTAAGCCCTGGCTTACGCCTTGGTTCCTTGTACTTCATGTTGCCGTCACTGTCTGCTACGGCACGTTGCTCCCAGAAACAGTCTTCCGGAATGCATTAATAAAACAACCAGGAACCCACAATGGGTCAACTTCTATTACAATGAACTCAATTTGCAAAATCCAAGAATACGTTTTCATAGAAAGAAGATAGAATCTAGGAAGAATACCAAAATAAATATCGTCGCTGCTATAAATATCATGACCACTTTAGTCACCACATAAGTGTCTCCTTGTCAGCCTTCCCTTATTTCCACTGGCATTGATACTATTGAAACGAAATATATAAAGATGAATTAATAATATTGAAATTATTATTTTGCTATGACAGTTCAATGCAATCTTTCTATGAATTCATGAAGTCCGGAGTTTCCTTATTGGTTACGCCTGTATTATTGCAGCAAGGAGCAAGAGCATCAAATCTCTACAATCGTTTCTCCAGGCATTTCTAAGGGCCTGGACAATCTGAAGAAACAGGACAAATTTTCCTGTTCCTCCGTAGAAAGTCGCATACCAGAAGCACAATAGAAGCAACTCTAGCTATTTCTTTTAAATATTGATAGTGGCACCCCATGCGACGCACTGCTAGAAATCAGACTAAACGCGACTGCAAAACCTCTCATTCCCGATAGTTCTCACATCGAAACATGCAATACGCACTGGCGACAACCCTCAATTGCTTTGAACATGTAAGAATTTATTTTGCCATTCAATATCTGAACTGCTCCACCAACACCTGATCCTCTAGTCGCCGAACAGTTAAACGATTACACGGTACCGATAAGTAGTCCAAACAATTACCCTCAATCGAGCGACGGGCTCTATATTCACGTCGTGCCTACCTTGTACAGGACGGTTCATTTAGAAGTTAATCATAGGTAAACAAAAAGGAAATTCCAAGAATTCCTAGAAGTTGTGCCAAATGTTACATTTAAAACATGCGCCGCAATGCCTCTGTTATTTCATTTTGTGTCGGTGCGAATTTGATGCTATCATCCAACACTATCCAGCACGGATTAACGGTTAATCGGACGCTACATGGGTCACCCTCTCCATGAACCAAAAGCATTCATCCCACACCTAACAGTCACTGGCAGTCCGGTACCTTTTCGTATTTTTTTCAACCTTAACACTGGGTCTCAGTGGAACGAGAGCATCAGCAACCCAGTTCTGAGAGCTCTCGTACTTGCCTGCCTGCCTGCCTACCGCCCCCCCCCCCCCCCCCCCCCCCCCCCCCCCCCCCCCCCC